GGGGGTTTGTGGTCCACAAAAGGTTAAAAATTGCAAAAAAAAAACACATTTCCAAAAAAAAAAAAAAAAAAAAAAAAAAAAAAAAAAAAAAAAAAAAAAAAAATTGTCTATATTCTGAAAATCCACTCACTTTGATGCAATGATATCAGGCAACTGTGGCGTGTTTGGGGAGATCTTCATGGACACATCATCAAAATAAATCCTGTTCGCCTCCACCTTGATCTTGTAAGTGCCTGTCTTCATGTTCTCCAGTTGGTAGATACCTTCTGCATTGGTCACTGCCAGTCGCTTCCCATCTATAGACAACTGGGCATTGGCCACACCAGACCCCTGGGGTTATAAAAATTTTCAACTTTTGTTGACAAGAAAAAGAGAACCCTCTGTTTTTTTTATCAGAGGATGATGGATGGGAAATTTCATCAATTAAACAATTTAATTATCCAAAAAATTTCAATTCTTTGCATTAACACACAGATAGTATCAGACAACAAATCAAAATTCAATAAATTTGTAATCCCTTTAAAAAAACACTTATTAAACTGTCTAAGGTAAGAAAAATGGTATAAATCAAAACAGCGAAGAAAATCCTCTTTAATCAGAGGGTGGGAAATTCATCAAAACAACAATTAAAATATCCAATAACTTTCTATTCTTTGCAACACAGTGATAGTATCAGACAACAAAAGCATGGAACAGCAAAATTTTTAAGTGGTCTGCTCTAAATGGCAGGCTCACCTGTGCTGCCTCAAGGACCCTGCCAGTGACTGAGAACCCTGCCACTTGAAACGGTTCCTGAAAATAAAAACACATTAAGGCCGAATCCAATCAAAGCTTTCCACCATTAGTCTGCCTTTAGACACATAATGAAGGCTTGTAAGATTGACTACAGTAACAGCATAAAGGAACTCTATTATGCATTTCTACATCATAAATTAATCATGATAACTAAATACTTAATCTTGATAATCACCATTCACCTAAGAGTCAGTTTCAGACTGGATCTATAATATTTTCAATTCCTCATTTATATCATCACATAATGATTTTTTTGACAAAATTAAACAGCTGTGGATAGAATTTTTTAATAAAACTGACTCAGATAATCAAATCAAAGAACAGATCCAGCCTTACCTTGATGTTGACAGTGCCGTGGTTCACCTGGACATCTATCAGCTCTGGGAGGACATCAAACTTGATCTTCTCTCCCTTGTAGTATGGGATCTGAAGGGGAAAAATGGCTTAGTAAATCTTATACTGCAATATCTAATGAAGTCAATAAAATTATGTTATAATCCTGTAAAACTATTTGCTTTAGAATAATGATCAATAGAACTGATTTACAATAATATATTACTTGGAGCATGGATATGAAGCTTTGTACTAAATTGCAATTTAGCAATTGGTAAATGTGCTGCTCTACATTTACTGTTCATTTTGAGGCACCACTCAGAAAAAAATCTGAAGCACAAGACCAGGATTTCTTAATTACTGTTCATTTCATGCTGCCACAATAAAAGTCAAACATAAAATCCATTTTTTATTACTGTTCATCTGTTAAAAAAAATTACCAGGGAATAGCTGCCTGAGGGCAAGCTTGGGAAAAGAAACTTTCCATCCAGCTGAGAGACCACAAAACACAGCTGTTTGCTCCCCTCTGGCACACCAACACCTTTAATGGGCGTCTTATCACACTTGTTGACATCCTGAAATTCGATAACACCAATTTTGTAACTACACATGTCAGATATCTCAAACAGAAATATTGAAATAACACAACTACTGTCAGTTAAATTATATCAACTACACAGATATGGCTTGAGATTTCAACTAAAATTCTAACATGGAAATGTGTGTGTATGTTTGCCATGAAGTAATGTCCTTTTGACTTCACATTTTAAAACCACATGCCAAAGAAACTTATGATCTTTTTTAGTTGAAAAATTTTTAAGAACTAACATACCATAAAATGACATTTAAATAAAATGGTTTACCTTTTGTTTTATGGTCTTGGAAAAGAGCACAAAATTTACTCCCTTTATTGGTTCCCCTTCACTCAAAACCTGACCCTGTTAAAAACAATGAAAAAACAAAACACATGATATTAACATTCTGTTTCTACTTTTCACCTACCTACACTGTCTAGACATTGTCAAGAGAAAAATGTGTTAAGTGAAAATGTTCAGTAATGCATTGTAAAGACTAACAGTTCATCTATGGTGTCACCTACGTAAAAACACCTTATAATTAACAACAATGTTTCAAAAGTGATAGTTATTACAATGGTGATGCCTATGTCTACATTCCCAGATCATGCCACATCCAGTTTTTACTTACATGGACGTCATACCCTGCTATCACTATGTTGTTGACTACCTTCGTGTTGGCATTTCCAACGGTCACCTCCACCTTGGCCTGCAGAGATAAATAGACACAGAACATACCCACTGGTCAGTAATAGTTTGAAATGTTGGTTTGCTAATATCATTATTACAAAATTTGGTGACGAATTTGAACGGAAAGGTATTAAAAATTTGGGTCCATGATGCAGGCATATTCTTTAACAAATAGAATAACATATTATGTGTTATATAATCTATACCAATATAATAATTGCACATAACTACAAGTTCACCTCAATAATAACAGAAATTTCACATTTTCAAAACTAGCATTAGTCCATTAGAACATGTTATTCTTCATCATCTAAAAGCAAACACATTTTAAATAATTCTATAAATCTTAAAATTCTATAAATTGTCACTTGCCATGAACTAATTAAAGCAAATTCACAAGCCATTACCTTCTCAAACTCCCACTTAGGATGACTGGCTTCCACCACATAATTCCCTGGCAGAACCTTGGTGAACTTGTAGCCACCGTCTGGCCCCGTCTTCTGGCTCTGAAGGACCTCGGCAGCGCCCTCTTTCTTCAAGAAGACCTGGATCCCAGCTGGACCCTGGGTGGTACCTTTGCTAATGACCTAAAATGGAATCATATAAAGGAGAAAATATACTATTTTTAAATTTATTGATCTATTTATGGTCTGATAACAGCTTTTAAGCTGCTGCAACCCTTTACAACCAAGTTCGGTTTCAAACTTTTATACAACTATTTTAGTCTATTTCAAATTCAAGTCTGCCCTAGTCCTGTGATAACAAAAAGTAACAACTGGTATGCATATGTAGCCATTTTTTCTTGATGTAAAACATCTAAAATTTGCTCTAGTTCAGACCAACTTTCAGTTTTAAGCTCCTTTGTTAAAGCTGTCCCCTAACCAGCATTTCTCTGTGTGAATAACTAGTTTAAAAAAAGCACAGTGGGCACCAGTGAATAAGCCTTCAGTAATTTCAGAGGCTTAAAATAAATATTCTTACACAGAGCTTGCAATCATTGTGATTCAACATAATATCTGTATCTGATATCCTATTAGTGACATGATTTGGGGTTTTAAAAAAAGAGGATAGAAATGGATTGCAACCTTCTGACCAAGATTGAAAACCGCAAATAAAAAATTTAGATTTTTGAAATTAATGTCACTCTGTTATTACCTGCCCCTCAATACCAAAACCTTGGAATTGAAAGTTGATGTCTGCTCCTTTACTGCAGGGATCAGTGGCTCCATCTATATGTAATTCCACTTGGGCTGGATCTAGCAGGTGAAAAAATTACAAATAATAAAATAACTTATGAATGTTACAAACTGAAGAAATCACACAGACTGTGACTTTCTAGAAAGTCGATCTTGTCCAACAAATAACCAAATCACTGAATGTTTCTTCATTGTTCAACAGACAGACTTTTAAATAACAGAGTATCACCAATTTTGGAACTAATCATGCTTGAAATACAACAATTAGGATATTTTCAATGGCAGTAAATATGAACTGTGACAATGTAAAAACTAGAATATTCAACAACTATGCAGAAGTGCCTCTTAACTTACCAAAACTCCAGCCATCAGGTGGCTCCACCTTCAGTATAAAATCCCCTTTATCGTAGAGAGGGATGGAGTAGTAACCATTGTTTGGGGCACAGTCTGTGGAATACTTCAAGCTACCCTGAGGTGTATAAAGTTTTACCTGCCAAGGAAAAATAGGAAATGTAATTTATTCATAAATATATATTGGTGCACAGTACAGATTACTTTTCTTTCTTTTACCTCGTAGCCTTGAGGAGAGTTTTAGCTTTTGTTTCTTTCTCCTTACACAAACCTTTTTTTTTATTTCTGTGCAATTGTTAAAAAAAATCATACTGACAAGTACCTTTGAACTAAGCCAAATGAAAACCAGAAAAAAAGCAGCCATCCACTGAAGATGGTAATGGCTATATAATTAATCGTCACTTGACTCCTCTCCACCCACCCCTCCGCATACCCCCTTATGTGTACAGAGAGAGACAGGTGAATGAATCTAAGAAAAGAAATGACTGTACAATTTAATGTTTGTGTGTCTGTCACAATGACAGAGAGTGAGAGAGGGAGAGAGAGAAAGTTAAAGCGTAGTCGTGTGTAGACTTGGCAACACTCACCTCTACTTGAGAAAAATTGATCTCTACGTCTGCTTTAACAAATCCACCACATACCATTACATCCTGAGCATGAGTAGCATGCAGAACACACAATAATACATTTAAAAATTCGAGAAAACTAGGCCAGTTCAAACCCTCCATCGATCATTCGATCAATAATGTACATGTGACGGGCCACAAACCGGAAGTGAAGGAACGGAGTAAAATGATCACAAAAATTACACGATAGATTCCACTGGATAGATTCCAAATTCTCTAGTGGATGAATATTTATTTACAATATACAATTTTATACATATTTTGGTGTTAGACTTTTGAAATGTAGTACTTAGATATAACATGGAACAAATCACAATTACAACCCGAAACCAGACTAGACGTTTTCTCAACTAACGCATTTCTCACTGTGATGCCCCCCCCTCCTCTTTTAGCCACTATCCAGCTATCGCACGGGATAACTTGATTGCCTACAGGAGATCATTGCATTACACATATATATAAATCTCTCCCTTAACGAGCACATGGTGTTGCCCATTGTGTGTAAGTTCGGTGACTTTTGGTGGAATATGAGCATAGAGGCCTACTGTATATAGGCCTAGCCTATAGCCTATACCTAGCTGTAGAATAGGCAAAGAAAAAGTCAACTGTGTCTATTCAAAAGTATATGTAACTATAATATTCAATAAATACTGTTCAGCTAAACCTGCAACGGAGGATGGGCTGGGAAATAAAAAGGAATCCTTGGCTCTTTCATTTATACACAGCCTACCTGCATTCGAATTATTATAGGCCTACATAAAAGCCAATTCGCCGAAAATAAATATCACTTCGTGCACAAAAACATCAAAGGCACAGAGATCTCTTTCATGATGATACTATATACGGGTGTGATGAATGTCGAAGTTTTTATTTTGAACAGTAGGCCTATTTTTTAATCATTCAGACTCGGTGAAAGTTGTTTCCGTAGGCCGGTACCTTAGGCGTCGCAGTTTTTAATTGTTCATTCCGAGGTATAGTCTACCATACAGACTGCAAAGCGTTGGGATCATATTTAAGTACCAAGAGGTGTGTGTTTAACCGTCCCTACACATTTAAGTTCCAGCCAGGACTTGAGAAGTTGTACAATGAAGTTTGTGTTGTTATTGGTTGCTGTGGGGATGTGCGTTTCACTTTATGGTAAGTAGGGGTCTAGATCTATTGTCAAGATAGTGATGATCAGCACGTTTTGTCTCAGCTCTCATATTTGAAAGAGTTTTATGTTATATCTTAACTGACTTTTTGTCATTTACGCACAGGTTTGTAAAACCTCATTCTGAGGTCCTCGACGAGAAAATTTCGAAAATTGGTACAGTGTTACAGTGTATGTTGTTTAATTTGATTTCAGGGTCTCCGCTGTCGAGACGAGAAGAGAATCCTTGCGACGACGAAACGTGCGGAGCTAACTGCCATTACCACAGCTGGGGGTATTTCTGTAATGGCTACTGCAGCAAAGAGCCTGAGCTTGTGGGTGAGAATTACAGCGGCTCCGGCGTATGCATCTGCCTAGTCGAAGAAGATTGTCAACGGGTACTGAATCGCACGAGGCGGGACATATCTTGGTAATATACAAAAAAGTGTTTTAGATACCAGAGCACTGCCGCTGTTATTCTAATGAGTTAGCCTTTCAGTTGCAGTTACGAATTATTCAGATTATTTCATGTACATTCTGTTGACATAATGGACACTGATATATATGGCTGTCAAACTCTATTACTGCTCCATCAGATTGTTGATGGTGATGCTTGTTTTTACCTGATTAAGACTGACATTTTGACAACATAACTGCCTTCCCCTGGGCGCTGAAACAAAGAACGAAAGAACGCTGATAGGTTGAATTTGTCAAAGTTTTCTATTTATTGCCGTGAATAATATTGCATTGAAACACTGCCATCTGATTCCAAAGTAAAAATATTTGTGACAATAAAACTATTCTTAAATTAAGAGGATAACATCTTTCAAGTTTTTTTTAAATTCTAATGGTAGCAAATACGACTGCAATATGTTATCTATATATTATCTATCATTTAAAAAAACCCAGTCTTATAAATATGGCAAGAGTTGTCAGCTGGCAGCTGAAGCATAATTTTATGTTATGTCGGAAAAGCAGATTTAACAAAATATGTTATTTCCCGGATAGATAGCTTATGGTTTTGATGCCGTAACTTAACATACACATGCCTTCATTTCGGCAACAGAGGGGCTACGTGTAGGCATACATGGGAAGTGAAAACACAAACAGCGGTTTTAGTGAACACTGGACCCCAACCTACTGTACAGTGTTGAAAGAAATTGTATAATTTTATAACCAGCAAGACCATTTTGACTGATGTAAACTGAAACAAATGACTTGCACACATTTCTTTTACAATAATCGATATTTTCAAAAACACCAGATGCTATCTCTTTAAAGTGCTAGACTCGTGACACGTTACTTTATTGATGAAACCTGTCTATAATACAGTATTAATAAACATGAGTAAAGTGAAGGCCCTGTCAGTTTGTACATTTACTTTGGAAACGAATTCTGTTATGTATTTTTCTTTCTTTCCTTTTTATATAAAAACATAACAAAAACCAATTGTTTGGAAATTTAGGATTTTTCATATCTTCATCTAGTTCAGTGCACGTATACATAAGGGTAAAAATAATGGAAATTTAAGAGCGGAATATTCCACGAGGCATTTTGGTACATTTTTTGCACAGTGAAATAATAAAAGAAGAACAGTTAGTTTTTACAAGGTATTTTAATCAAGGTAACGCAACACTATAGATTTTTCGGTCGTTAGCGCAAACTTTTGAATTATTTATTTTATAAAAAAAGTTATGAAGTCTTGTATCGAGACTGGATGCGCAACCTTTCCTGAACTTGTCCTACGTGCATTCTGCTGTTACGTCACTGTCTCCCGATGATTCGACCGGATAATTGTAGTAATTTTGCCTTACGACGTAAGAACTGTTTATATCATCTACTCTTGTCACTCCTGAAAGAAATTTTTAAAATACATAGTGCCTTTAGCGTTTCCAGTCTGACCTAAATTTAACAAAAGAATTTTAAAAAAAGCCCTTGAGCTTTCCTCACAGTGAGTTTTCAATTTTAACGTAATTTTTTTATTATTTCTTTCATTCTTTCTTTCTTTTCCTTTTCTATGATGACCTCTGTAAACATTGACTGTATTTGAAAATGAAGCATTCGGTAACTCTGCCATTAAGCTCATGAGCATGTGCCTCAAATAAGGTTCTAGTTCACCGTTTTTCTCAGGGTTTTCACGTTGACCAGTTTCATTAATCGGTTATTGATAATACTGCATTGCCTATAGAAACTCGCGCACTGTACCTGTGAGCGCCATGGTACTTTCTAGTTCGTTAGTCAATATGTCAAGTACGTCTTGAACACCCTGGGAGCCATTAGTGGCGAGACCATGGAGAACAGGACGACCGATGAAGACGGCACGAGCTCCTGGAATTTATATGAGACCATTATAGACTAGAACGTAATAAAGGGACGGATGATGCATCTAGCGGATAATTTATGTCTCCAGAAAAAGATGCAAATGTTACTGAAAAAAAGTTACAACAACGAGTTGGGCGATCTTGAGGTGTCTCATGGTTGCACACTTCTTATTTTCTTATTTCTTAAATTTTTTTCAAAAAAATTTCCTATAAGCGGCGTTTTTCTGAAGAAACTTTATTCATTAGTTGTAAGAAAGCCCCGCCACTTGCATGTGAATCAATGCCTACCTAAAGCAAGTGCAGTGAAAACGTCCCTCCCAGTCCGGACGCCTCCGTCCACATAAACGTCACAGCGCCCCCTTACGGCACGCACTACCTCCGGCAGAGCGTCAATAGTGGCAGGACCGCCGTCTAGCGTGCTAAAATTCAAAGTAATAAAAGTTTTTTCCCCTATAAAATCAAAGTATTGATTTGATGGGGTTTGAGGTAATGATATTTTTCTGCGAAGTGTCCTCTCCAAGAAGAATAAAACAACTTGTTCTGCATATCATTTCTTTTCAGAATCAATGACTTTTTGAAAAAAGAAACCGATTATATATAATTCAGATCTAATTTATTCACTGCTTTAAAAAATAACGCATTGTGACAATCTGCATTTAATACGCATAACACATTATGCCTTTGTAAGCGTGAAGCGTTAAGGCATGTAAAATACCTAAAGTTTTTTTTCTTTAACAAATAAAGAACTTGTCGGACTATCCCCACTCACCGCCCGCCGTGATTGGAAACAAACACAGCATCCGCACCATGGCGCACCGCAAGTTCTGCGTCCTCCGCAGTTAAAATTCCCTTCAGAATGATTGGTATATGTGAAACATCTTTCAACCAATCAACATCATCCCATGTCAAAGTGAAAACATTATCGTATGCGTCGTCCACCGTAGCCCTCCTGTCCGTCACAGGGTATGGAAGATTGGGAAAGGTGACCCAGTCCGGAAGGTTGTAAACGTTGCGCTTTGACCAGGAAATTCGCCTCCTACGCACTTCGTCTACTGACAGAACGATGGCTTTGAAGCCTACAATGGACACTGACACTTAGAAAAATACGAATTTGTGTAATTTTTAACAAGTTCCTGTGGGAAAATAGGAAGGAAAGATGCGTATTTGGAGAGAAGTTAAAAGGAAGTGTCTAACAGAACTTTTGACTCCACGCACAGGTGAGTCCTCCAATTCAGAGGATGCTGTGCAAAGTGCGAGTTTGCGACTTTCTATACTTTTTTTTAGCTTATTCATTGGTTGCATAATCAGTAAAATTTTGTTAAAAAATCCCACCCCACCCCCAACAGATGAATAATTATGACTTGATTTTATGCATCATTTTACACATTCATTAGGTGTGACACTTTTTTGGTAGGGGAGTATATTTCATTGAGGCGTACGTCAATCTCTAGAATGCAGCAGTTTCTTTTTAACCGTCTTTTAACTAACAATTTTACAAATACTTAACGCAATGACAAAATAAATAAATAAATAAATAAATAAATAAATATTCAAAGTAATAAAAGTTTTTTCCCCTATAAAATCAAAGTATTGATTTGATGGGGTTTGAGGTAATGATATTTTTCTGCGAAGTGTCCTCTCCAAGAAGAATAAAACAACTTGTTCTGCATATCATTTCTTTTCAGAATCAATGACTTTTTGAAAAAAGAAACCGATTATATATAATTCAGATCTAATTTATTCACTGCTTTAAAAAATAACGCATTGTGACAATCTGCATTTAATACGCATAACACATTATGCCTTTGTAAGCGTGAAGCGTTAAGGCATGTAAAATACCTAAAGTTTTTTTTTCTTTAACAAATAAAGAACTTGTCGGACTATCGTGAATAAATAAATAAAAACGCTTGAGTTTGTCCTTACCAGCTTCTTCTACCCTCCTTACGAATTTAAGCATGACGCTTCTTGGTTTCGTCATATACATTTGCATCCAGAGAAGAGCGTCAGGAACAGCCTTGGTTACGTCTTCTAGGGGCGTAGTCGTGACTTGAGCAAGAATCATGACCGTGTTTTTGGCAGCGGCAGCAGACGCTGTGCCGATTGTCCCTTCCGGATGAAACCATTTATGTAAACCGCTCGGGGAAATGCCTATAAACAACGCACAAGTATCGAATAGTAAAATTTTAATCTTTAGTTCAGCCTTTAGGATTTAATGAGGAAAAAAATTAATAATGATAATCACCATTTACCAAACCGTATATTCATTGAAAATACACGACCTCGAATTAAAAAAAATCCATTATCACTCTTCTTTGCCCAAAAGCAGGCGAATCCTTGCAGTAATTTAAAATATAATGATGTTGTTATTCTAAGAACGCATCCTTACCATGGTTCACGCACTTATCTAACTCACTGACGCTTGACTGACACTTTTTAAAACCATAACATGAATAGATAAAGCCCCAGCTGCCGACTTGTTTGTGAAGTAGTCCTACACTAGTCACTGTACTACATGTGCTTTGATGTGCACGAGTTTTTTTTTCCAAAATTTTATTGCGACTGAGAGTAAGACTGTGGGTGGGGTGGATGGTTTTATATTTTAGTTAACATCAATTTTTTTTTTCATCGATATTCTTAAATAGCAAAATGCATAAAGGTAGATTCCTTTTGTTGTTACTATGATCTTTATCATCAATAGTCAAGAGTCAGGCAGTGAGAGCGCTACTGTTGAGATGTGGCGAAGAAAATGGCAGTTTTTTTTTTCTTTTCAATCGAATTCCCGATCTGTTGATCAACATAGAACTAGCAAATAAATGCATAAGTTACAAAAATGGCAATACATGGCATTTTATCTACACCCCAACCTAACACTAGCTGATATAATGAAATCCCGGACCATCCATATTTTATCAGACAAGGCTAAGATCTAATGAATCTGATTTCGTGCATGGCTTTTTATGAGCACCGACAAAAATTCTTGATATGAAAAATACAATTACCCATCCCAAGGGGCATTAGCAACTTTACTCAATCACGAATATCTCAATTACCCTTCTAACAGTTTTAGTGACTGACAAAAAAAATACTAGTTGTAAAATGCGCTGCGGTTGCGAAATGCGTTTATGAGTTTTTTATTGGTTGCAAATGCGTTGCAGACGCAAAATGCGGTTCCTCAATGATATATTCCTCAATATATCATTGAGGAACAGATGGACATTTTTAGCCTTTACATTATTCAGAAAGTCAAATAAATCACGTCTACATGACGGGTAGATAAAAAACATACACCAAACGCGAGATTTTGAAAACCCAATATCCATCATAACTCGAAGACACTTCCCTATGTACTTTCTTTTGCTATTACCTTCGGCTTTATACAGTCGCATTGAATATGTTTTCCTCATGGGGAAATAGGCCTAGTTCCTTGCCCTCTATCAGGGTCACAGATTGATTTACCGCTAGATATTTACATATATGTCTCTGACAAATTATGTTTTCTTTTGTGTTCGGTGAGAGTAGAAAATTGTTTGAGGAATTACTCAAAGATATACCTGTGAGCATCTAGTGAAAAGCAATCTGTGGCCCTGGTAGAGTGTAACCATTCTGAATTGGGAAAGATATACATGTAATTAACACATTCACAGGTAGACATGGAAAATATTACTTGAGGTTAGACAGTTTCAAAAGCGGACAGTACACATTTTATAAAACAAACATTGGTTCACCTATAGGAATATCAATGGGATATCCTAGGGCACTTGTACACGTGTCGATGTGACTCGTATCTCGCAAAAACCTTGGCCGAAGACGAAACCGCTTGTAGGCATTAAGATTATCGTCGTTGGTCAGCCCAGCGGCGTACGCACTTTCCATTAAGATGAAGGCGTCTGGATCCACTTGGTGTTCGGCGGCATCTTTGTAGGCACGGACATTCACCAGACGACAGGTTACCTGAGGGCAATATGAAGAGGTTGAACGCATGTGCTTATAGCAGGAGAAAAGACTGTCGTATTGACGAAACTGTATTTCTAAGGCATTCTTTATTATTTGGACGTAATTAAACCTTAAAAAATACGCATACAGTGTACCATTGATCGCTCCTTACGTTATGCAGGTCCAATGTACAAGAACTAAAAAAGGAACGTCAGGTAAGACATTTGAAAATAACCATTGGAGGGCTTTAAATCATAAACATTTCTGTAAAGAAAATACGTACATTTCCCGCCGTGCAAGTTACCAATAATATTGTCATCAAATTTAAAGGAACAGCCATGGTGACCCGACGCGATGGCGGTACAAACAGAAAAAGGATCCTGCAGTGTCTTTAGTACAGAGTTTTTTAAAACACCGATAATCGATGATTGCAGACAAAAAAGGGGGCATGCATCAAGTAGGGGTTCAGTGGATTTTCATATAATTCCTCACACCCGAATGCCGTAAGTGTAGTAATCATAATGTTAGGTGCTATATGGTGCAGGCATCCGAGTCAAGTTAATCGGCACCCGCCACTGAAGAAATGGAACTTGCCATGCTTTAACGTCTTAACTACATCTCTTTATGCTTGTGAACAGTATACGCTGTACTATATGAATAGAGCACATTCCCGAGTGCACTTACATATGGAAAATAGATAATGTTCTGTGCTCTATTTGTTTATAACAATGATTAACATTGTGTACAGTATACGCTGTACTATATGAATAGAGCACATTCCCGAGTGCACTTAGATATGGAAAATAGATAATGTTCTGTGCTCTATTTGTTTATAACAATGATTAACATTGTGTTTTAGATTGTCCACGTGTGAAGGAAAGGCAACTTTTGGTTTTACTTATTAAACTGGATTTTGTACTTTGTACATGTGATAATGTACTTTCAAAAACTGCAGTATTTGATAATATATAAAAAATATAACTTTTATTTTACAATTTGGAATTTAAATATAATTCTCATAATGAAACTCCAATATGACAAAGAATACTTTGAAATATGTAACTTATATCATGAACATTCTTTGTCTTATTAAGACTGAACTTCACCTTCATATACCATCCATCCGTCCTTCACTATTCTGGCTCTGCGGTCACGCATGACAGTGCACAATCACTATCAGCGCACAAGGTGTTGTCCAAAGTTTCTTCAGGACTGCCACATAGCGATTTCAGGAGAGACTGAGCAGCAAGAATTTGGGACGTTGAGTGGGCACTGCATTTACCCCCCCCCCCCCCTTTGACCCCCCACCCCCCAATTTTATCTGTGGAGGGGGGTACTTCAAGCAGAATGTGTATCGCGGAAATCCCCAAAAAGGAATGTAGGATTTAACAAAACTTTTATGAGTTCTGTTTATTTATTTATTTATTTATTTATTTATTTATTTATTTATTTGGGGGGGGGGGGGGAGGGTTACCCTGGTTAAGATAGCAATATTGGCGGCATCAAGCTTCAAACAAACAGACATCGTTTTAGGCACTGAAATATATATGGCTATAACATTACCCCCGCAAAGATTCTCTGTACGTTGTTTTAAATTTGGATTAAAATCGTTTCCACTGAGAAATACAAATACATGTAGTATGTCTAGCGAGGAAGGGGTCCCGTCTGATCTTCTTAAACCTCACATGAGAATTTTATCTAACAGAGACCCCTGGCGGAGTGTAGCAAAAACAGCATTCCCCAATAAGTTTTATTTCAATAGCTGACTATATATTTCCATTAAATGCATAAGATAGATCTTTTTGAAATAACTAATATTCATCCCTACAGTAATTAATATTTCACCTTTCATTTTCAGTTATGGCATATTAGTTGTGCACTTGCCAGTTGGGAAAAAATAATAGCATCGATTGTTTGCTTTATGAGTTTTCTTCAAACATTCAGTTTGGAGTTCAAGTCAGTAATATCCAGGACATCACTGCAACGCACAACACGCCGATAGGGTGCTACCTCCAGACGGTCTGCTCACATTATCGTAGTGACTCTGCTTGACAACATAAGAACTGTTTATTTCATCTATCCGTGTCACACCTGGAAATATTACCCGCTGAAATAAGTTTATTAGATCGTAGAATATATCAAATTAACAATTCCCGTAGGCAATATGGTAAGAACCGGTTCACAAGTATCTTTTACACTACACTTGTCCATCCTATGGAAAAAGGAAAACTCAAGTATCATTCATAAAATGAGTTGCAATGTTTATGAATAGGCAGGAAAAGAGAAGTCACCTGTTAGCGCCATGATACTTTCAAGTTCCTTGGTTAAAACGTCCAGAACGCCCTGGACACCCTTGGCACCGTTAATGGCAAGACCGTAGAGAGCAGGACGACCGATGAAGACGGCGCGAGCCCCTGGAATTGAAGCAATATACCAGATCTACCATAGCAAATGGAGATTCAGTTTATATTCACAAATGTCACAGTCTTTTCCTGGGTACCAGTTGTTGAATCGTACAACACACAGTCAGTTTTGACTGCGCTGTTTTTGGGAAACGGGTTCCAGCTCGTTAAGCCGAGTCCCCAGTGTAGCTGGACATTGTGAGCAAGATAGTGAAGGGCTCCAGCAATACGAAAGCTGATTGTCAACCAAAAAACTTAAATACACACAGTTTATTATAATTCCAGATATATAAAAAAACTGAAGTGTCATTTTATTATCTCATGTACCAAGTACTGACAAAGTGTATTTAATACCCGAAGAGGGCTATGGGCTGGGCTCAGCGCTGTAATGATTACACATTAGTGCTGATAGAATCTGAATTACTTTTTACATAAGTGCATATTTACATTCATGAAAAATAAATGTCCCGTATGTATGTATGACTTTTCACAATGAATGTGTTCTCAACTACCACAATCTGTGGGTACACTCTGTCAGTAGGCCTACAAGATACTTGGTGGAGGTTTGTGCTCTCTTTGTCTTTTCAGGATTCAATATAAGCCTTGCCTCGGTTTTTGCCCTTGGATGGTAAGTAGTCATCGCAGGTAAGACACAATACACCCTGTGTTGCAAATTCTACAAATATCTACATCCTGTAGAAACTATACCTTCCAGTATAGAACTCACAATTAAAGTCCCTTTGCATTGATTCACACACCAGTTTGGTAAGGTTTTAGACCTTTTTTTCCAGCAGTTTCATCACTTCTGCTTGGAGTTGTAAGTGACGGCACAAATAATATACAAGAAATTCTAACAAAGAACGTTATATGGCCCTACATGCAGGAGTTTTTGGAAACGGATGATGAAAAATTGGGCACCATTTGCGTGTCACAGTTATATTTCCCTTCACTACAACGTCACATAACAATTCAACTTCTTGGGTACCTACCTAAAGCAAGTGCCGTGAAAATGTCCCTCCCAGTCCGAACCCCTCCGTCCACATAAACCTCACAGCGCCCCCTTACGGCACGTACAACTTCTGGCAGCACGTCAATAGTGGCAGGAACGCCATCTATCGTTCTGAAAGTTTAAGTAGGTACACTTAAAATTGAAATCGCCATTAGAAAATAGATTAAGATGAAAAATATAGGAGAAGCAACTCCTGTACAGTTGATGCGTTCTGATTTATGTGATTTTTTAGGATGGTCATTGCAGAAAGTATCGGCGCCTTCAAACTATATTAGGTCATGTTGATTTTGTGTGAACGTCATATCCTTATAAAAAGCGCATATTTCTGAAAAATGATATTAAAAAAACGTTTAAACCCGTTTCTACCTACCGGCCACCGTGATTGGAGACAAACACAGCATCTGCACCGTGGTGCACCGCAAGTTCTGCGTCCTCTGCTGTCGATATTCCCTTCAGAATGATCGGTAGTTTCGTAAATTTTTTCAGCCAATCAACATCCTCCCATGTCACTGTATCAACGTTTTCTAAAAAGTCAGCTGTTGTGGCTCTCCTATCTGTCACTGGCTTTGGGAAATTGGGGAAGGTGACCCAGTCAGGGATATCGTACGCGTCGCGGCTATACCACGGAATTCGTCTTCCTGACACTTCGTCTAATGACAGAACGATGGCCCAAAAACCTACAAAGTACCGGCGCAATGTGTTATTACTGATGCATATTCTTCCAAGAAGAAGGCCTAGGGGCCGAAAGCTCGGATTATATATATGACATCTGTAAAGTAGATCTTCAGAGATGTATCAGAAATAATACTTATTTTTACCTTAACATCTATACGGTGAATTGACATGAATCTTCAAGGCGCAACGTGTTGACACGTTGAAATATGTTGGCGGTTGAATGAGAAACAATGAGTTACAGCAGAGAATGGGAAGGACACAGAATAACGGATTTTAACCTGATATCACATCAGAGAGATCGAAATATGTCTAATACCCGATCTAGCATTCTTTTACCAATCTATCACCCTTATCCTTACAAATGCACCTTTCACTGGCTACTTTCCACAGAAAGATAGAAAAACGCCCGATCTTTTCCTTACCCGCTGCTTCTACCCTCCTTAAGAATTTAAGCATGACGCTTCTTGGTTTCGCCATATACATTTGCATCCAGAGAAGAGCGTCAGGAACAGCCTTGGTAAGTTCCTCTAAGGGCGTGGTCGTAGCTCCAGCAAGAATCATGACCGTATTTTTGGCAGCGGCAGCAGACGCTGTGCCGATTGTCCCTTCCGGATGGAGCCATTTATGTAAACCACTTGGAGAAATACCTAGTCGAAAGTTAACAGATATATATATCTTTTGTGTTAGTAATTCAAACCGTTCCTGTACGTGACACCGGAGTGACAGGATTGGTAGTCCTAGAAATGGAAGGGGACCCATACGTGATTACTAGTAGTACAGGTTAGAATTAGGATTGAGGTTAGTATGTGGGACGAATGTCACCTGTACAAAGTAATGTGGAACCCGGAACGAAGTACGGTTCCTAGCGGGCTACATGCACCACTCCTGTCACATCGGCATGACTTAGAACAAATGGTTGGTATTATACATTTGTCTCTGTTCACTGCCCACGAAAAGGTATGAATCCGGGCCTCTAAAACATGGTTAGGGCTGAACTCTGTATTTCTCAGATTGGTCTTGGGAACTGTAAATAAAATGTCCATCAAGCTGAATTTGTTTCTTTTTAATTCTGAAGGACGTGTATGTGCATGTTCTTTGGTGTGTCCCGAACAGCTCTTGTCACAGTGTCGTAGGACCAATATATATTTCCGACTTCTTTTTATTTATCTGTCAGCAATTTAATCCTTACGCTTCAAAAATATCCCCAAATCTTATCCAAGTAAAACAACATATAATTTAATTTATGAAGAGATCTAAACTTCAGCCAATTTATTCGTCCAACTGGCTCTCTTGATGCGAAATGTACATTCTACGTCTTGCAAGACGTGCACTGAATCTCTCTCCTTTTGGTCGAATAATTTCCGAGGGTTTTGGAACATATTTTTTCATACCATCCATAATTGTCAAAGAATCCTTTAGAAAACATTTGGTAATGCATGTATGTGCTATTTGGCAATATAAACATTTCTTGTGTAGGATTTTTTTATATTGATAAAAAGGCCCATGGGAATGAAACATCCCATTGTTACCCAGTCTCCCCAAATACATTCATCATCATCATCATCATCATCATCATCTCAGCCTGTCACGCCACAGATGGCGCCACTGATGGTCACCACGGACTTGACCACGCTTTGCGTGTTATTGGTGTTGAACGGGAACTCACCATGCTGGTCCGGTGCGGGTTGGTGAGGGCCTGATGAACAATTGCTCAAGCTATATACAGCTGGTTGCTTGAGGTTAAAATTGACTCGTGGCCGGCTTCAAATGTCCTGACCTTTTAAAGTCAGACTCGCAATTGCCACCAACATAAAAGGCTGAATTTGCATTAGTTGCTCTTGTAGCACAATTTTAAATGAATGCCAGCGGGTCTTTTAAGTCGCAATGGCATTGTAATATACGTAATAGGCTGAATATACATCTGAATTTTTATATGCATTTACGTATTTGTAAAAATTCGACCTATTGGTTGCAATTATTTTATATAAAATTTTATCACTTATTACTATCTAGTATAACGCTACAGCTGAATCTTTGTATGTGCACTGGATAATGGTAGATTTTGTTCTTCATCGAAATGTAAATCAGAAATTAGAATATGACACTCAGGGAACATTCTCTCGAAGCACGACTAAGTGCTTATTTTTTGCATATTTTCTCCGTTAATATGCTAAAATGTTAATATGCTGGTTGTGCTGTCATGTACATGTACCTTGTATAGAAAGATGAAGTCATATAAAGGAGATAAAAAGTTCTCTGGATTCACTATACATTTCACGCTCTCTGTTAGCATTGCGCATGGCTTGAAACTATATCTCCAGCACTTCAACGGTTTCCATTAAAAGCTCCTGCAGGAATATTTTTAAAGTTAGAATCCGGGAATGTGTCGGTGTACAAACTGTAGCGCCAGCCTGGGTTAACTCTCGTGGTAATAATTAGCAGATCTTGTCTCAGTTTCATTTTTACTTGTACATTTTTTCTGTTTGTTCGTCACCAGCCTAACTCAAAAATTTATGAGTGGATTTTGATGAAAATTTTCAGGATAGGCCACAATTGGGAAGATCCAAAATGGATCAAATTTTGGTGATGATTCATTCATTGATTAATGTTTAATAATAAGTTAATCGTTTGTCCCTGCGGAGCTCTGTGCTCTGATTGCTTTTGTAGTAGACAATTACTTTCATACCAAAAGTTTGGTCTACAGGGCCTACGTACGTGCAGTAGTCCATAAAAACAGCAATAGCATCGGCAATAGTACTGCTGATGTTACGTATCATTGATCATTCAAAGTCAATTAATTCACTCCGAGAAACTGCCCCACCCCACCCCACCCCAAGCCGTGCTCTTCCTCTACCATGTTCTGTTTGTCTATAAGGTCTAGCAAAAAAAAGAAAAAAAAAAGATTTAAAAATCGCCATGCTATTTCTTTTTGCGCGTGTAAAATATTGGTAGTGTTATAATCTCCAAATGTACAAAGTAATTACTTTTGGGTCCGTTAACCTCATATTCCTTGCCAATATGCTATGCTTTGAACATTTAGTGTGGTTAAAGGCCTTCAATATATACCATTTTAGAATTTTTAAAACAAAATTAAAAACAGATATTACACTCGAGATTATGGAAATGGCTTGAAGTGATCTCGAGGGTAACCTTATAGACAATTTTGAGTGGTTCGTCATGATTAATGATGGAACTCGTCAGGTTCATGGGCATGGGTGGTTGAGAGGTCAAATGGTAAGTCCCTTTTTTTGGCCGGCAAATGTCCTCTCTGACTCAAATGTTGATTTACGTTCTACGTGTCAGCATTTTCTGAAGATGGGCAACTAACTTAAGCCCCGTTTGCATAGACACCATCGCTCTCCCATCGATAGTTACTGTACTTATTAACAATAAAACATCGAAAACACCAAAAGGTCAAGAAACCAGAGTAAAACTAGAAGGGTCATTGTTTGAGTGAAATGATTTGAATCAAACACACGCGCTCGCGCGCGCGCGAGCGCACACGCAAAAAAAGGTGATCACTATGCTATATCACTATAGGCCAAACTGTTTTCTTTTTTTTACATGATGTACTGTGTTTAAAGCGATTGGGGTACTGTTGGTCAGCCTGGCAAGAGAGGAGCAAACAATGGAACCATTCCCAGACCCTGTCGTACTAAAGCTTTTGTTCAATGATGCATTATAATAAGGGGCTCATAATCCCATGACGAAAATATCAATACCAAAATGACGGTACGGGATTGGAGCCCAAACTTGTCGATTGATTTGAGGTGTAAAAGTTGTTAAAGGTGTTAAATTAATTCTAATTTTTAATCCAATGGACTCACCTATTGGGATTTTTATCGAATGTCCCAATATACGAGTACTGGTATCGATAACACTGACATCTCGTAGAAATCTTGGTCGGAGACGAAATCGCTTGAAGGCCTCGATATTCTCGCCATGCGTCTGCCCCGCAGTCTGCACGGCTTCAATGAACATGTAGGCGTCTGGATCAAGTTGGCGTTTTGCTGCATCTTTGTAGGCATACACATTAACCAAAGTGCGGCCCACCTGACATAATAGAGTAATATGTTATGGTTAGAGGTCAAACAAAAACGCGTGCTTGTGTTCGATTGTGTATGGTTTGTACTTGTATGCCCGTGACTGAGATATCCACATTTGATTTGCATTGACCAGAGGCCTTGACAAACAATACACAACGAAAAAAAATAAATAAATACATACATCACCGGCGGCTCGAGTTAAAAGCTCCGTAGGAACTGACATGACTAAACGGGAACTTCACAATAAACAGTTTCTCTACCGCAGTGTTGCTTGACCATTGAGGAAAAGATAGTAAAACATAGCCAACTATTCTGATTCACGTGATTTGGTGACGACGTTTCTCATGCGGGCGCGACAAATAGAGTTGTCAACACAATTGGAGTCATACACCCTGTATTACAGAAGCCGCTAAGACACTGGAAACACTCCTTTATAGCAGAAAGATCAGATCCTAGAGTTCTATGAAGCTCAGGGTTGGCCCATAAAAGTCATAAAACGAGGATTTTATAGTAATCCCGAGGCACTTGTTGCAAGCGATTTCTATCCGTGTGATACGTATTTATTCGCTGAAATCATAGTACCTGAGTGCACGTTCAAGTAAATTATGTTGTCTGGCATACCAGACAAGAAGACGTGCGAGAATCCGCTTGAGGTGGGAGTTTACTCTTTAGTCATAATGGTGTAATATTACGTCATATGGGAGATCTTGAGATATCTCGGATCATTACCATTTTCTCAATATTTTATTCAACCCAATAACCGGGTAACCTTTTTTTTTTGTAATTGTGGTTTATGTTAAANAGTACCTGAGTGCACGTTCAAGTAAATTATGTTGTCTGGCATACCAGACAAGAAGACGTGCGAGAATCCGCTTGAGGTGGGAGTTTACTCTTTAGTCATAATGGTGTAATATTACGTCATATGGGAGATCTTGAGATATCTCGGATCATTACCATTTTCTCAATATTTTATTCAACCCAATAACCGGGTAACCTTTTTTTTTGTAATTGTGGTTTATGTTAATGCAAGTGCTAGTGCACTATGCATCCCTTTTCAACAGACCATGTGAAGCAAGGTCATTTTCACTTTTACATCCCATTATATTCTCTTGATAATGAACCCCGATAAACTAAAAAAACAGATCTGTGTAATCGGCTTCGTGACAATTCTTTACTTTGTCTCCAAACTATTGTATGAATACAGTGCCGCCGGAATCTAACCTTACTTACTCTGCGGGTCCCTCCGGGTTGTTCATACGGCCTGTCGCGGTAAACATGGCAATACCATTGCCATCCATGTGGGTTTTTTTTTTCTTTTAATAATAATTATAATGAATCAAGTGAACGTTTGTAACTCTTCGTTTTGGCCAAAAAAGAATTTTCCTGGAGTAAACAACATTTTTCCCAAACTAACCAATGGTTAATGAATACATTTTTACATTCAAAGTTAGTCCCTGTTTTTTTCTAAAAAGTTTTTTTTGTTGTTGTTGTTATAATCTCTTGAGAGATTATAACAGAGTATAGCCATCAGTGGCGGTCATGTGGTCTAAAGACAAGCTCAGATATCAGAATAATAGCTATAACTGCCGTTTTATGTGGTAAAACAGAATATTTATAACTCCTTGATACAGCATAACCCGTTATTGTCTGCTTGTGTTGATAGCAATTTCTTTGCATTAGTGAAAAAGGAAAACTGATGTGAGGCAATTAAGAAGGAGCAGAGCGTACGTGTTTGTTGGACCGACTAATTTGGTTGTCCGATAAGGATTATTTGCCAATTCTCCTACCCTGTAAATATCATGCGGGCTCTATTGTGCGACCATGCGGGGCAGGGTTGGGAGTCGGAAACGATATCGACGACGTAGTCTAGGGGAACACTGTTCCTTTTATGTCTCCCTGACGTCTGCGACATGATTCAAGCTGGATGTTGGGGTTTAAAGGCTCTGAAGGGGGAGGGGGGGACGAGTCCGTTTACTTCAGACCGAGACATTTGGGGGAATAATTGAAAAAATAAATAAGATTGGGAAAATATTACGATCACCCACGTCGTTGCATATTAAGGTCCCTGAATGAATGAATACTGGAAAAATGTCCCATGAAATGAAAATGAACACATGGAAAAGCAGTGCCAATAAATAAATATATTTTTATGTTAGTTCAATCTATGTAGTGTTTTTCATATGGACGGTTTTTAATAACTATTTACCAGTTCTCACTGTACATCAAGTATATATGTGAACATCTAAGTATGAAATTTAAAAGAAGTACAATATCCACATAGAGGACACAGGGATCAGAAGAGTAACATTCTGTTTCAAAGATTGCTGCAATTCACACTACTTACAATAAATAAATATAAGATGAGATAATTAAATATCTTGGTCCTAATATACACACAAATGTTCACTTTGGTTAAACCCGAAAATTGGGTACCCACAATAATTTTCACAGACCGTTCCATAAGTTTTGGTACACCCTGTACTGTGCAGGGAACAGTAATCTTGGAGACACAGTCATGTGATATGTTAAGAACAAGATCTGTTGAGTACCTCATGGCTCCAGTAACCACAGACTGCTAAACTCAGGTGAGAGCTTTAAGACACACCCCTACACATTTTGCCTTTAATACTCCAACAGTCGTTACAGCAACATTCAAGGGTAATTGCACTGTAACCAAGCTCTAGGCAACACCCACAAATGTTCACAGTGTTATCAAGATTATCACTATTATGTGAACTCTCTGAAGTTTTCTTTTTTTTTACATCTAGACTCAGGTCCATATTTTTCTCAGTTGTACAATGTTTCATGTTTATAACAAAGTGAGGCCTGATATCAGAGAGCCTCTAGTCTGTCCTTGACAGCGTTCCCCACAGCTTCTAAACTGTCCACGTCCAGCTCCTTCACCAAACACAGGGCTGCCTGGAGGAGGTTGGCTTGCTGGAACAGAACACAAACCATGAGCAATATACAGACTGGGAAATATTTATTAGTTGACTTCTAGCTAAGGATAGATGAGGAGGCTATCATGTACAAGAGAGTCCCCTGCGAGGGTCTTGTTCCCACTGATTGGTAAAGGAAAGCCCCAACCTTGATTTTGAGATGGGTTCTTAAGATTCCACAAAACTTAACATATCTGTAGAAAACAGTAGATAAATCGATAAAATTAACTTCTTCAATTCTACAGTTAACTTGAAAAACAGCAGAAACATTTGACACAGTTTCTCATTGAAATAACATGAATATAAAATCTTACCCTGGCCTTGCTGCCCCCAGGCCTGTGATGTTTCACTGGAGAATACTTTTCTGTGGAAACCGGCTTCAGTCCAAGCTCTTCCCTGATTTTACTGAAACAAATCCAGTGACAATAATTTACAGGTATTTTGGCAAAGGATTCAAGTATGAGACCAGATATAAACAGTCACATTAATATAACTAAAATCATTTCTGTGAACAAGTTCCATTTTTCCAAAGAAATTTCTTTTGAGTTGAGTTTTTTGAGTTGGGTAAATATGTTATACAGACCATAGTTTTAGATAGCCTATATACTTTCACTCATTTAAAGCTCTTTCAATCAATTTATCTCCGTTAATATAACTGATCATTACTTTGTCTGTTCCAGTGTCAGTTTATCAGGATCCTCCACCGGTGACCTGTCTTTGTCTTTCTTAGCAGATTGGGGTCTCTGAGAGGAGGACTTGGATGGGGACCTTGACGACTCGGGCAGGTGAAGGTCTAATCCCTGCTCTATTGCATCGTTTAGTTCTTCTACTTGCACAGCTGCGTTGTTGATGAAATAGAAAAGAAAATGGTAAGATATAATGTCCAAATGCCAGTGAGGTAGGACGAAGAGTGCACGTGTGCCTGAGTGTGTGTGTGTGTGTGTGTGTGTGTGTATGCATCCATGTGTTTATTAGTGTACTCATGTGTTTGGGTGTTTGCATGTGCATATAACAAATCAAGGCAATACTTCTATACTACCATGACTGAAATAACACAAGTGTATTTCAAAATGAAAAATGATGCTTGACTCGTTGATCATGATCCCCTCCTCCACACACACCCAAAAAATAAAAATAAAAAGTAATAATAATAAAATAAAAAAATTTCTAAAATTTCCACCATTTACCAATATTATCCAATTTATGTAAATTAGGCAATGTTTTCAGCACAGTGAGCCTGTATCTATCTCCCACTGCACAGGGGTTGTCACTGAGCCAGAGGGTCCTCAGGTTTGGCAGGTGCTTCAGATAACAGATGTCTGCCAGGTTAGTGATCATATTTTTACGGATGTACAGCTCTTGGAGCTTGGAACAATGAGCGAAGTCGGCTAAACTGGTGATTTTGTTTACACTGAAAAAAAAAAAGAAACATTATATTGGTAATTACACATTACAAAGCCATGTAAACAATAGTTTTCTTTAACACTTTTAACTGGTTCTATACATTTTTAAATAATGATAATGAGCAGCACTTTCTTAATTTAATTATGCTTATCAAAATTAAGTTTCTTATTGTTGCATCACTCGTATAATGGAGGTGGAAACTGGTGAATTTTTTGTATGGCTCTAAAATGAAAAACTATTTTCTTCCAGGAGTTTGGTAATGTATACATGAGTGATTTTGGGAAAATTGCTGATAAATATATATTTTTTAATGTTTTTGTGAAACTTAGGTGATTAAGAGAACCTTCGTGAAAATTTTAAGATAGTCTTTTGTAATCATGAACAGTTAATGCACATGAAATACCTTCAAGGTTCAGACTGCTACCTAATGTTTTTTTTTTTTCTTTTTAAGATCATTTGTCCTCACCTGAGACTGACCACTTCTACATTAGGCATGTGTTTAAGAATGCTGACATCATCTAGGTCACTCCCCCNATGTGTGTGTGTGTGTTTGTGTGCATGTGTGTGTGTGTGTGTGTGTGTGTGTGTGCATATGTGTGCACACGTATATGCATCCATGTGTTTATTAGTGTACTCATGTGTTTGGGTGTTTGCATGTGCATATAACAAATCAATGCAATACTTCTATACTACCATGACTGAAATAACATGAGTGTATTTCAAAATGAAAAATGATGCTTGACCCGTTGATCATGATCCCCCCACACACACACCCAAAAAATAAAAATAAAAAGTAATAATAATAAAATAAAAAAATGTCTAAAATTTCCACCATTTACCAATATTATCCAATTTATGTAAATTAGGCAATGTTTTCAGCACAGTGAGCCTGTATCTATCTCCCACTGCACAGGGGTTGTCACTGAGCCAGAGGGTCCTCAGGTTTGGCAGGTGCTTCAGATAACAGATGTCTGCCAGGTTAGTGATCATATTTTTACGGATGTACAGCTCTTGGAGCTTGGAACAATGAGCGAAGTTGGCTAAACTGGTGATTTTGTTTACACTGAAAAAAAAAAGAAACATTATATTGGTAATTACACATTACAAAGCCATGTAAACAATAGTTTTCTTTAACACTTTTAACTGGTTCTATACATTTTTAAATAATGATAATGAGCAGCACTTTCTTAATTTAATTATGCTTATCAAAATTAAGTTTCTTATTGTTGCATCACTCGTATAATGGAGGTGGAAACTGGTGAATTTTTTGTATGGCTCTAAAATGAAAAACTATTTTCTTCCAGGAGTTTGGTAATGTATACATGAGTGATTTTGGGAAAATTGCTGATAAATATATATTTTTTAATGTTTTTGTGAAACTTAGGTGATTAAGAGAACCTTCGTGAAAATTTTAAGATAGTCTTTTGTAATCATGAACAGTTAATGCACATGAAATACCTTCAAGGTTCAGACTGCTACCTAATGTTTTTTTTTTTCTTTTTAAGATCATTTGTCCTCACCTGAGACTGACCACTTCTACATTAGGCATGTGTTTAAGAATGCTGACATCATCTAGGTCACTCCCCCTTTATAAAACAAAGATCGAGGTTATATATAATGATGCCACAGTTATAGTAATATCATGCACTGTATTACTCGATCCTAATTTTTCTAAGTGCACACTTGTCTTGGAGAATTTTTATTGTATCGGAAGACTTATTTCATCATGTTCTGCATTTAACTATCAACAATATACAGAAAGGTGAGTTAATTAATTTTTTTCTAATAATATCAGTGGCTACTGAATAAACACTGAGACATGTATGATAATCATAAACGATTTTGTGTTTGTTAGTGTATGAACTTCAACTTTTTTCAGGATATTATCATTTCTGTCGTGTTAAAAACATTGTTTAACTTGGAAACCAACTTAAAAAACCCCATATACCGACCAACAGTTCAGTTTCCTGACGCTCTCCAAGTCTGACGCCCTGGATCTCCCCAACACTAAACTCTCTGTAAGTTTGACCATAATGCACACTAGATATGCTAACTTAATCTCAATGAAAACTACACTAACAAATACTTTCACAAAACTGCCGCTTCCCCAAGAACTTCCTGTTCGTCGGAGACGGTAAAAATTTCGAGGTTGATTGGTGGATTTTATAGATGCACAACCAACGCAATTCATTGTCGCAACTAACACAATGACATGTGTACATTTCTTGACCTACTTCTGTGTCACAAAACACTGCCATCTAGCGGTAAAGGCCGTATCAGCCAATCATATTGTACAACGTCTCACATGCAGCCTAATTTTACTGATATTGGCCACTTACAGGTACACACTTCCTGTAGTAAGTTCATGACACCGGCCTCAGAGAGCCTAGAGAGGGGAGACGGCGACTTGCAAGATTCGGACCACACTCAAAAAATGCAAAATAATCGCTTCAAGTTAGCAATTTGTGCTGGAGGTATTTTCGTGTGTTACTTTTACTACGGAATTATTCAGGAATCAGTGTAAGTCGTGTTGTACTGTATTTTATTTATGATTCTTTTCAAAAATATGCATGATGCTGGTTTCTTTTAATGAGAAATGCAATTTTTTACCAGCTGTTACAATCTGAGTGATCTGCATTATGTAGGTTAAGTACATTATAATCACAAACAGAATTGGAAATTTTGACAAGCAGTGATGTACTGTACATGAGAGTAATCATGTTCATTTTTAAAAAGGTGTACCGTGTATATAATATATACTGTGTGTGGCAGTAAGTTTCATTAATAAAAGTAGTCAGTTTTGTCACTTTTTTTAACCATATATGTTGGACATATATTATTATAAGAATCAGTTTCATGAATAGTAACTTTTAACTAATAAATTGAAAAATTTGAAAAATAGAAATATACAGTCCGTGATACAACTGTATTTATATGTTGAATTAAATTATTGGTCTCTTCTGTTAATTTACAGCTGCATTATGAATAGTTTATATATTTATTTTAGTACAAGTTTCCAAAATGACTATGAGCAAACTATATACTATATCTTCTTAACTAGATCTTCAAAGACAGTTTAAAATTAGGCTTACACAAAGATCGAATTCAGACAATATTATCCAGGTGTACATACAATCAGTTACACTTAAGTGATTATAAATGAGTGACTTATGTGATATAAACCAGTGTTATATATATCTCTGTATGATATTCAAGATGCAGAATTGTGAAATCATAATTTTGTCATAAATATACCCGTTCCTGCTTGCAATAAAATGGTTGCATCAGATGCATTAGAGTACATGTGCGTGAAATATATAAATCCATGATTTGTTCAATGCAAACCCACAATAGAAAATTGTGTCATTTAATCTTATTACATATTTACATTGGGTGCAGTTGACTGGAAATAATAATTTCATCCTCTGTCAATTATATCTGATCTGGTGAACTTAATATACTGTCCAAACAAATTATAGTACAAAACCAGCAAATTGAATTTGGCATTGTCAAGTATATAGGCCCTGTATGATGTATAATTGAATGTCTATCTGTATATCCTGTAATTGTATAGTATTTCTATATGATGTGGTCCATATGTGATGCTTAACTGGAGGTGCATATATACCATCTGTATCATTACATTTTTCAGTTGTGTATTACTGTTATTTACTCTATTAAATTATATATTTCATGTTATTTTCAAGTAGAACTAACTGTAGACAGACACAAATTATTTTATATTATGGGGACCGGGTTTAAGTTTGTGTTCACTATTCCATTTCAACCATAAGATGGAAGAATTTTCTTTCTTTAAACACACTGAGATTTAGTCCTTAATATAGAAAAAAAATCAATTTTAAATACTTTTTAATACCATTTTAAAACCATCCATGTAAACTTACAAGAAAAAGATGAATTTAACTGAGCAAGAAATTTAGAACTTTGAAAGGTGTTACACTTAATACTGTTTATTAATAATCTGTCAAAGAATTTTAATAGATATAGACTAGCATTATTATTACTAGTCAAATGATAGATATATACCTATAGGAAAATTATTTCAAGTTTAAGGAAAATGTTGATTTTTTTATTTGTTATACAATTTAGGAAAGGATTTGTGCACATTGCATGCCTTATTTCACAAAAAAAGAAGATGATGAAAAAGTACAGGCATTGCCTGCATGGAAGCTATTTTAAGTTTTAATATATGACTGATTCAGAGTTCGCCTCTAATGTTTTCCAATGATTTCTCATATTTCAGAACAAAGGGGAAATATGGAGAGGGAGAAAACCAGGAGAAGTTCACCTTTACTCTGTCTTTGGTGTTTATGCAGTGCATTATCAATGCTTTGTTTGCACAGATTGGTGAGTGTACATCATAGAACAGAAGAATAAGGTCTTACGGGTTGTTCAGGGTGAGTTGGGTCACAATAGCAGATGTACAATAAATCCATGGGGACTCTCGCTGAATGCAGTCAAATTAACAGGCTAACATGCCTCCTGGATTTGAGTAGATTACAGAGAAGCTGGTGATTGTACAAGTATTTGGAAACAAGTGGAGGAGTGTTAGTTTGTTATTCTGACTGCATTCAGCAAGAGTCCCTGTGGAGCTAGTGGACATAGGCTATGTTCCCTAACTCTCTCTGAGTAGTTACATGGTAGTCTTTGGCATTGTGAAGGTGTCTTACCTTGATATCATGAAAACACTTTTTGATTGATAAATGTCCAACAGAAATGAATTTGTGAAAATGTTATTTCATTAAAAATTTTGTTTTGTTTTAGATTTGTTTATTGTCTGTGCCAGTTCGACTTTATGTAAATCATTGAGAAGTCAGTCTCTCTCTCTTTTTTTCTCTCTTCTCCCTCTCAATATGATTCTTAATATTTTGCAGCAATATCTGTGACATCTCCGGGTCTTGATAAAACTCCCAGCAGCCTGTACGCCATATGCTCCCTGTCCTACCTTGGCGCTATGCTGGCCAGCAACCATTCACTCCAACACATTCCATATCCCACCCAGGTATAGTGAGACCAACGCCCCTTTCACATCGCGTGGTATACTTTTCTGTTTCATGCCATTATGATAGATTATCATCAATAACTTACATGTACGTGTACGTCGTGTAACAGCTTGGGTGTTATGTTGAAGAAATGTCTAAACAGAGTTTCCTGGGCTAGACACCACCAGTTAACTGAAGCAATTTTGATTGGTCCAAACAGTTGAAAGTCGAATCGTGAAAGGGAAGGAAAACGATGACAGTCAACATGGTGCAAAACAGGAAAGTGTACTGCAAGATGTGAAATGGGTCTAATTTGAGTTTTAAAGAAAGCCATCAAAACTCTTTCCTGGATTATTTTTAGGAAATTTCATAGCAAAGATTCTAGAGAGATGCCTACTTTTGAATAAAAATTCATAGATTTATACTTTTATGAACTTTTCTTTTACCCTGAAGGTTCTGGGCAAGTCAGTGAAACCTATTCCTGTGATGATTTTGGGTGTTCTGGTTGCTAGGAAACGATACCCTTTGTTGAAGTACCTGTTTGTGTTGATGATAGTGACTGGGGTGGCCTTGTTCATGTACAAGGACAAGAAGCCAAAAAGCGGCCAGGAGGAACATAGCTTAGGAATGGGAGAGATCCTACTGGTAAGGACATTAAGATTTTCTTTTATGATTTTCCAATGAGCTGAAATGTTTAAGGCACTTACTACTGACCTCACACTTCTTGTAATATTTTTCTTTTCTTTTCTTTAGCTGGTCTCCCTGACCTTGGACGGCCTCACTGGAGGAACGCAGGACAAAATGAGATCAGAATACAGCTGTAAATCCCACGCCATGATGTTCAATGTCAACATATGGTCTGTGCTCTGGCTCACTCTAGGTGAGGGCAAAATTTGTATTATATTATTATATTGGATTTTACAGTTATTATTATTATGATTATTATTATTATTACATTCATATCACTTGCTTTACGTATTTGGCCTTCTTTCAGTATTCTGTGCTGAGAAACTAAAATCAATTAATTTACTGAAACTGAAATTTTAATACTTAACAGGTTGGCTGTTGACTGGAGAGGCAACAACATTTATTGGTTTTGCCCAGAGACATCCCTCTGTCCTCATGAAAATGTTCACCTTTTCTGTAGCCAGTGCATTGGGCCAGGTATATTATGTATAATACTAGTCTCTCTCTCTCTCTCTCTCTCTCTCTCTCACACACACACACACACACACACAAACAATATTTTTTTCACTTAAACAGACTGAAAAAAATCTGCTTCAGACTATATTGATCTCTGTTGACAATCCAGGGAAGACCTGTGAAATAGGGTGCTTCATTTCCATCATGTACTGAACTGAATAATCATAAGACATGAATTCCAGTTGTGTGAAATATATTGNATGTGGGGGTCTATACGAATGCGCTTGCTCCAGCTGGTGGTACAATATTCGGAGGCGGTATCGCCTCTCTGATCCTCTAGTCATTATTATTATTATTATTATTATTATTATTATTATTATATTCGTATCACTTGCTTTACGTATTTGGCCTTCTTTCAGTATTCTGCGCTGAGAAACTAAAATCAATTAATTTACTGAAACTGAAATGTTAATACTTTACAGGTTGGCTTCTGACTGGAGAGGCAACAACATTTATTGGTTTTGCCCAGAGACACCCCTCTGTCCTCATGAAAATGTTCACCTTTTCTGTAGCCAGTGCATTGGGCCAGGTATAATGTGTATAATACTAGTCTCTCTCCGTCTCTCTCTCTCTCTATCTCTCTCACACACACACAAACAATATTTTTTTCACTTAAACAGACTGAAAAAAATCTGCTTCAGACTATATTGATCTCTGTTGACAATCCAGGGAAGACCTGTGAAATAGAGTGCTTCATTTCCATCATGTACTGAACTAAATAATTATAAGACATGAATTCCAATTGTGTGAAATATATAATTCACCCTTTTTTCTTTCAGAACTTCATCTTTATCACGGTGACATCATTTGGACCTCTGACCTGTTCTATTATCACGACAACGCGAAAGTTCTTCACCATTCTAGGCTCCGTACTTATTTTCGGTAACCCTATGGTAGGACGGCAATGGATAGGAACTGTCTTGGTTTTCATTGGTCTCTTTTTGGACTCTAAGTATGGCAAAGAGAAGAAAGTTGCCAAATCTTGATGATAGGTTGTACCTTAGTTGTTCTTCGTCTTGGGGCTTTAAAGGAAATCAGATAAAGCTTTTTTTTTAATACACAGTCTTTCTGTTGTTATTTAAGCACCAGTATGAGGGCTGTGACAGTAATTTATCTTTTAGGTCACTAATCACGTTCATTTTTACTCTGTACACCAAAGCGTTAAAATTTCAGGATTTTCCATTTTTCTTGAAATTTATTCTTTTCTCAAAATTCACATTTTTTATTCAGTATTACTTAAGCATTCATTTTTTTATTTCAAATCTGTCAGTTTCTTTAAGCGAAAGGTAATTTTAAACTGTGTATTTAAACTCTGTTGCTCAGAGTTACCAGTGCCAAAAAACTTGGGACCTTCTTAATGTCTGGTACATCAAGTTCTGGTAATCTACTGCCTGAGAGCAGAAATGGTGTCCAGTAACTGAACCATTACACCCAATTTCTCTGAGTTGGCTAGAGTTTTACAGGCATTTGGTGCAGAGTCAGTGCTTGCTTTGCGGACTGGATCAAATAATTGTGTCAACAGATTTTCAAAGCTTACTTTTTAACTGATAATACCCTTTGATATTTCAATAGTTTGGTTGACCTAGTAACTCTCTGCTGATGCTACACTTCAAATGTAAAAATAATCCGTTATGAACTCAGTACCATGGTGTACAAACTGAGCTGGTGGTACCCACCCAGAGAATGGTTCTAAGCTCTCCGAACTGCTGGATAAATTAACCATTAAGTTTTGTTATTAAATATGCTTTTTTCAAAAGAGTCCAGAATTTGACGCCAATTGAAAAGGTCTCGGAGAGATATTTTTATGTGCATGCTGGGAAAAATTCAGATATTTAGAAGTGGATTTTGTAGATCCTATTTGGCTAGTCCTTTATATTTGTTACAATAGGCTTGTGTCCATCTTTGTTAAACTTCATTTCTTTCTTTTTTTCCTTACAGAGAACTATTGGCAATACAAATCATTTAACTAAACATTCCAAATAGGTTAAGATTATTGGGATAAAAATTTGGAAGATTTTAGTTTTGGTGCTCTTTGTATAGTTGTCCATTGACATTATTATTTAAGGATGAATAAAACATGACAAAAAATTTGTCTTTTATTATTTCTTTTAAGGGGTACATCACAAAGTAGTTTTACAAAATATAAATTGTGTCTTGTCCAACCACCTGTTTTTCGTTTTTCAGGAGAATAAACTGGCCATCAAACTGAGATTAAATCAAAAACATTTCTGGAAGACTGCACTCTTTTTATTTCAACATTAATATCTGGCCTAATACTTGTAATATGACGTCCTGTGTAATATAACTTCTAGTTACACAATCTACTAAAAGCAAACTTAAATGCATTATCCTAACACCACCTGAAAATGACTACACTTTTCATTCAATTTTTAGATCAATCTAAGAGCAATGATAAGCAAATATATGCCCCTTATGAGCAGTAAAAAGGATTTTTTTTTAAATTTTGCAAAATATTGCACTTATCTGGGTACTTCAGCTCAGGAATTTAACACATAAGGGTGAATATCTCACCCAACCTTCTGGCCTTCTTTGCAAAAAGCAAAACAGAATGTTTGGAAAATGTTGCCTTTTACAGTTGCTGTGGTAAATTTAAAGGAAACTAGGCATCAAAGCTGTCAAATGGACAGATATGTAAATGCCAAAACTGATGACATCGAATAATTCTAACGCCTTACTGCAGTCATCTTGCCTCAAAAAAAGATATAATTGCATACATAATGTTTTCTTCTGTAACATGTTAAATAAATGCAAGCATATATATGAGACAACTTACTTAGCTTAGTGCACAAAATAACTTTAAATTTTTTTAACTTGTGCATCGATTATTTTCATGATAAATTTTACTTTTTATTTTCCAAACATGATTTCATTGGCACTTTGAAAAAAGACCCTGAATAAGTATTAATTACTAAGTGAACACATTTTGTTCAATAAACCATAGTTTTGTTATTTCATCTTTTACAAGGGAGAATTTACCACTGCTGTATATGGCAGCATGCCTGGTCTCTGACCCACTTTTGACACAATTTGGATTACTGAGTCATTTAGTTGACTTTGGGTTAATCTTAATACTCGGGATAGGCAAACTATACATGTATTTAACTTTTTTGTAAAAACTTGTGTCACCAAAAAGCCTTTCTTCATCTAAAAAAAGAAAGACACCTCCTCCTTTCCAACAAGTGTGGAAACTACAGAAACATACATAGATTGCTTAAATTCTTAGCATGCATTTGGTAACATGGGGGCCCTGAGTTCATTTGCTGTCTCCAATCCTTGTTTTACCTCAACTGGTCACTGCCATTATACAGGAATGTGTGGGATGGGGTGGATTCTGTCAGGGCACCTGCACTTTTATCAATTAGGCTTTTAATGATGAAAATATTACATCATGCCTGTACACCTATCAATACCGTGTTAACAAGAAATCTCTTAATGTTTACAAACCATTATGCAATGAATAAATGAATTATCTAATACTCTACATTTAGACAATTCTGTCTGTCATGATATATAAAAACTGACATGAGAAAAATGTATAAGCTTGCTGTATTTTATGTGGCAATGATAAAGAAATATTTTGATATAAAATCCAGCTTTACTCTGATCAAATATTCTGACTGCTAATAGTTTTTTACAATAAATTTAAGCTGCCATGCCATTTTTGCACTGAAAGATTAAAGGTATACAATCTGTGTTTATAAAATGTCTGGAAGTCAAATTTTCTGTCCCCATATTTTAAAAAAAAACCCATCTTTGAAAATTCAGAGCTCGAAGAAAAAAACCCTCCAAATTAAAATACCTGATGTTGATAATTCAATCTGAAATGTACTGGAAAGCCTGGCAGTGTTAGTGACTAGCCACTCATTTTCAACTAATTTATCATTCTAGAACTAGATAAAATATTGAATCCAAGTGTTTAGAGAAGAAAATATGCTTCCTTTTCAGGAAAATTTTAATCAAATTGGCAGGTAAACCCCAGATAGAATACCTTTAATCACACTCATACATGTATTGCATAACCTGAATTAAACACTTCATGACCTTCAATTACAAATCTATCTTTCACTAAATCCTGGCATAGGGAACTGTCCAGCAAACTCTTCCACTTCCTTCTTGAGGCTTTTAATTTTCCCTTGAATGGCATCATCCTCCAGGAGGAATGCCTTGTAGTCCTTCAGAAGACCTGGCAATGGATAAATTAACCGAACTTTATGTCAAAATATTTCTATTTCAAATAATACTTTTTAATTTTTCTAGACTGCTATATCTAACATTCATCTCCATGTCCTAGATGTCAATTAGGATGCAAATTATCTTACAAATAACTTCCTATTATAAATTCCTTTTCTTCAATTTTCTATGACATTCAATTAGTTGTGGGACTACCGAAAAAGGAAGCAATTGAAGAACACTTCCAGCCTTTTTCAGAATAAATCAACTGAAGACCAATTCAAGAGGTCTTCGGTCCACTGAGAATAAATAATCACTATATACATATATACATGCAATATTTAGGCTAACCATTCATTCTTGGGATCTATGGCATTTACATTTTACATGACAAAACAAGTAACAGTTGTCTTACGTGTCTGACTTTGTGCTTCTAATCCAATCTGTGTTGCTCTGTCGATAAATTCCACCACTTGGACAAATTCCTTTTCCTTCATGCCTCTGGAGGTCAAGGCAGGTGCTCCTGTACACATAATAATAATAATAATAATAATAATAATAATAATAATAATAATAATAATAATAATAATAATAATAATAATATTTTATTCAGCCAAAAAATAAATATATATTTCTTGTGAGGACTGAAATATAGTTTTTTATAAAATTTTGTTCCAAATTACTTTATTCTCACCATCAAAACACTTTCCAAAAATTCAACACCTTGGAATCATGAAAGATTTGACAGAAGAAGCAAATTCTAATTCATTGCAGAAAGTCAAATTCTGTGACCCAGTCATGAGGTACATGTAATATTTTGTGATCTAGTTTTGTGACCTACTAACCCAGTCTTAGGCCACCAGGGGTCATTGCACTCTTATCCCCTGGACAGGTGTTCTTATTGGCTGTAATATTACACAGCTCACACACCCTCTCTATCCTGGCGCCATCTGTCCCCTTGGGTCTCAGGTCCAGCAGACACAGGTGGTTGTCAGTTCCTCCTGGATACAGAACAATATATAGGACATCATTTCAAATACAGATTGGGGTGATTTCTGATGGGTACTATCTGGTGTTAGCTTTAATTATTGATTAAGTATAACATGTAGTGTAACACAATGGAATCCTAAACTACCAAATAGGCACAACGAAACCCTTCAGTATACCAATCTATGTATATCAATCCTAAACTGTACCAATTTCATTGAAATCATTAACTGTACAACAAATCTAATACATTAAAATCCTTAACTGTAGCAATCTGCATGTAACAAGTTGAAATCCTTAACTATATAAATGCTGGTACATGCATGCAAAGGCATGCATGCAAAGGCATGCATGCACAAACACGTGAAAACTCTCTCTCTCTCTCTCTCTCTCTCTCTCTCTCTCTCTCTCACACACACACACACACACACATGAAAACTCTCACACACACACACCTGACACAATGGAGTACCCCCTCTCCAGCAGAGCATGTGACATGGCATTAGCATTCTTCAGCACCTGAAGCTGGTACTCCTTGAACTCAGGGCTCATAGCCTGCGGGAAACAAATACATCAATTAGACATGCTAGTGACAAAATATCTGGCCTGCAAAATTGTAACAAAAGTATTTAACTATGGTTTCTTTAATTTTCATGTTTGACTTGTGATTGCTTCAATAATTAAGACCAACTTTGCAAAAATATTCTGAAGTTTCAAATTCTATTCAATTAATGGGTTGGTGGGTGGGGAGTGGAGGGTTACCTGTAGACTTACCTGTTTCAGAGCCACTGCAATACCCCCTATGTTGTTTTCATGGGGGCCTCCCTGAAGACTGGGAAACACAGCAAAGTTGATCCTGGACTCGTAATCATACATGATCTCCTTTCCAGTTTTTTTGTTCACTTCTTTCACTCCTCTGCGGAAGAACACCATACCTGCCCTTTGGTAAGAAGAAGTAGAGTAAGAAGAGAGAAATAAAAAATGGGACCTAAAAGTACCTGTTAGTCTATTTTGCTACTCAATAATGTTGCTGTCATATCACACAGCTGCTAAAACAAGAACTTCAAACAAGTAATTCAAAACCATTCACTACCTAAATGATACTGGAAAAACAGTAACTGTAACAATGTTTGAGACACAGTTTGACCCGTTCTGACATATTTCACAAAAATATTATTTCTGATCTCAATATAGGGAAAATTGTAGCCATTAAGCTATATATTTATTTCCACTTTTTAATTTTAATAAAATCAGCATTTTGACCTCAATAAAAACTGTGCAATACTTTGCATTTCTTCTGAAAACCTCATATTCTGTTTTATACCTAGCTGTACTTTATTGTCATACATTCACCCTTCTTCTGTTTTAAATTTTTTCATTATTTCATCTAAATAATCACTAATTCAATTCCCAAACATCCCACCTTGGTCCTCTCAGGGATTTGTGTGTTGTTGTCGTGACAACATCTGCATACTCAAATGGACTGGGAATCACTCCAGCTGCCACCAGCCCTGAGATGTGGGCCATATCAGCCAACAGAATAGCCTTGCTCTCGTCACAGATCTACAAGGAAAAATGTTTCTCTACATAATGAGTGAAAAACAAAACTCGGGATTCATTTAGAATTTTTAACCATCCATTACAACTACGATACACAGTGTAACTTCTTTTCTTTAAGAAAAATACCTCGACTTTTAATTTATAACTTTTGAGATATTTCATTCTTTCATGTTAAAACTGAAAATCATTTCTTTCTCTGTTTAGCAAAAAAAAAAAAAAAAAAAAAAAGAGTGTGTGAAAATGTTCATTGGACAATGACAGTCTTAAACATATGCTCAATTGGGGAAGTGATTTCATGAATGTCATCATCAGAAATCAGTCTGTGAATACTGTACACTTCAGCGAGAACCTACCTCCCTAAACCTCTTGTAGTCCAGGAGTCTGGAATATGCACTGGTGCCAGCAATGATCAGACGTGGACGGAACAGTCTTGCCAGTTCAGCCAACTTGTCGTAGTCTATGTACCCAGTCTCAGGCTATTAAAGATAAATGTACAAAATTACATATACATTAAATAAATAAATAAATAAATATGTGCAAGAAACCTTTAAGAAGATGCATTGTTGTTTTAATTACAACTTAGTAAATCTAGAAAAAGAATGAAGCCATATTATATATATAAAATAGCAAAGCCTACTACTTACATTAAGCTTATATCCCAAGGACTCGAAATAAATGGAGGTGGCAGATATTCTCTTCTTGTCTGACATGAAACCATGGGTAAGACTGGAAACAAGATAAGAAAACTTTGATCAGGAAGAAATAAGCATAATATATGCATCATAGTAAAACTATTCAATTGAGTTATCCAAGAGAATCAAAAAGAATCACAGTTATGTAACATACAAACAAAGGCATACTATAATTCAAACAATATCATAAAAATGCAAAACACTGTTTAAAAGATTTGTCAATGTCTCCTGTGTGTACTGTGTGTAGTGAAGGGAAAAAAGCTAACTGTTTCTAAAGGAGACTAAATTTGGAGTAAATAATGTGATCTTGGTTCCTTAACGAAGAGTCGAAAAGTCGTACATTGAAAAACATCAACACTTTCTCTCTTTTAAAAGACTTTGTATTTTACTAACTTATTTCGGTTATGTAATATTTGAATTATGGAATTCTTTCTGAAAAACTTTCATATCAAAGATATCACAAGTCAACGCACTGTCCACCATCAGGCAGATCTAGTCCCATGATCCTGTCGTGTGGCTGCAGCAGACCTGTGTATGTGGCAAAGTTGGCTGGACTGCCAGAATACGGCTGGACATTCACGCCCCACTTCTCTGGGTCCAGACGAAATGCCTCCAATGCTCTATTCTGGCACAGAGTTTCAACCTCATCAATAAACTCATTGCCACCATAGTACCTATAAAATAACAGAAATTGATATTAACTGCAGAATTAAACAATTTCTTGACCCTCTTCCTTTTTTTTTCTTTTGTTTCTTTTCTATTTTCTTCTGATGCACTTGAAAAAAGTTAAAATCCAAGTCTTCTATGGTCTTCTTGCAAGTATCTAATTTTTCTGTTGGCACTTGGGAGAAGAAAAAAATTGAATAACATCTCTTGAGCTTTTCAAGATCCATGGGTTTCAATACTTGGTATTTTTCCCCATCACTTTATCAATATGTATCAAAATGTATATGTCTACTGTAATCACCTGGCCCCAGGGTATCCCTCAGCATATTTGTTAGTGAGACAAGAACCCAGACATTCCATGACAGCCTTACTGGTGAAGTTCTGGAAATAACAGAAGAAAAATCATCAGATACATTCAATGGTAATCAGGTATGCATGGATTGAGACTAAAAGATTTGAAGACAATATTTTGAGTTTTATTTTTATATGCAAAGAGTGATAATATAAGTACAAGAAAAAAGTAGTAGGCCTTCTTACAAGAAATAAGTTGTTATTAGGAGTCTTAAAGTGAGAACACTTTAAAATAATAGTGTTTCCACATGGCACTTGAATGGTGCCCAGTAGAACTCTGATCTTGACCAACCTCTGAGGCAATGAGTTCCAAACCAGTGACTTGTCTGTGCTTTTCCTTCTTAACAATGGCCATCATCTCTGGGTCATCTTGGTCCAGTGTCTCCTGACCTGACAATACATGGGTTATGTTCTAATTTGATCGATTTTTCATATCTTTATATTAATTACAATTACAAAAGTCGAAAATAATATTTTTTTTAAAAAGCAAGGACTGGAATTTTTTTCTTCAAACCAAAATGACATGTTAATCTTGAAAAATGCTTATGCAAATTGAAGATAAAAACAATTCAAACCCTACAAACAGGATTCGCAAAATACATTTTGTCTAAGGTTGGTGAATTTTGACAATGCATGCTGAACTTAATTATGTTCTTATCTTTACCTGTCCATGCCTTTCTGGAGGAGGTCAAGGTCAGTGACCTCTTGAAGGTCACACCCACATTACGCTGGAGAGACTGAAAAAAGTTTGTATTTATGTATATGTGTGCTACTGTAATTAAAATCATTGAAATTAACCCTCTCATTTACCATGACCATATTCTGACCTTCACCTTCACTTAATGTTGACTTATGTTAAAGCAATAATAACTCTTCCTTTGAGATTCAAAATTCCGCATGAAATACATTTTAAACAACGCATGGAAATATATTCTATCGTATTTTACCACTAAAACGGCCGTTATTGGAGTAAAACTAAAATCTGTGCTTGTCAATGGGGCTTTCAATGCCATTTTTCCCAGTCATCAAGGCATTCGTTGCTAATGACGTAATGGTGTCACGCAGATTCTCGCGTTCATTCGAGACCAAAATAACATGGCGCCAAACACATTAATGCGGACGCAGACGTAAGTTGCGAGTTTTTGTACAGTGCGTCGGATAACGTAAAGCCCAGAATGGCACACATTGTGGATATAAATGCATTTTTAACAAAAAGACGAATATATCTCATGAATCTTATATAGTGTTGTTGTTGTCTGTTAAGAGATTTTAACAAAAAACCGTACGTTTAGGAAAAAAACCCTGGATTAACTTTGAATGCAGGAATGGGGTCGTTGACCATTGGTAAGTACGGGAAAATTGCCGTTTTTTCCAGGAAAATCCAATTTTTGGCCAAAACGAAGAGTTATTATGACTTTAAGAATTAATATAATAATAATATGCTAGGCTCCAAAATAAGGGATGTGTTACTTACAGATTCAAATGCTCAATTAATACTAACAGCTACGATCATTTTTGTTCTCATTCAGCCAAAATTATTTGTATTAAAGTACATCAAAATACCTTAATTACTCTTATTTATCTAAAAAGCAAATAGAAATAAATCTATAAGTGAAAATCTTGAGAAAACTAAATGCTGTTGTTGTCATCTTCTTCCAAAACCCGTTTTTAGCACAGCTCAGTCAGACAGTGATCACAATATATACAGATATATAGAGTCTGTACAGAAAATTGTCCCTCTTGTGATGGAATTTGCAGTATATTCTTCATATATTTCTTTCATTAAAACCAGTGTAAGCCCTTAATTCACCTCTTCAAATAGACATAAATGATTAGGCTTATTACTTGACTAAATAACAGGATTATTTGGTTACTATGGATAACAAACGAATGTAAATAACAGTATCTGCTACTGCAACAGACTGCAAGGGTATAATTGTGCCACAAAGGAACCAATTGATAACATCATCTTACTTGAAATATGGCACTGTTTTCCTCAGAATAAATAAAACTTCCTTGTTTGATAGGTCAAAGTTTGTTTTTGTTTTAAGTTTAATTATGCAACGTCTATACACTAAATAGTGTTTATTGTTTGTGTCTTAGTGGACAGCTATTGTACAGAAGTGGATCCTGTACAAAGTACTGTTTTCATCCAGTATCATGGGCACTTGTCACGCAAAACAAAACTTATATAAGTATGTAAATCACAATCTGATGCAAGACTTCTCGGCCTTCTTGCCTGGGCTCTGCGACTCATGTTTGCATAAAAACACATGAAGCCTATGGTTACTTTAGCAGTTGCAGAATACAGATGTATCTTTACCAGGCAACATCATATTCTAGTTCGATCCACTTACAACGTTAAAATGGGTTGCAAAGCCTAATAATAGTGAACTTACCAACCCAAAAACTTTCCCAGCACGGACTAAGTTCATGTTCGTTTCACCAGCAGATCTTGCCTGCGTGTTGCCAGTAATAGGGTCAGGGTCACTGGGTTAGGGGGCCCGGAGATCTTTTGTTTTCGAAGACCCGAAGTTAAAAAGTCTCGTTTTATCTCATATATTCTCGTATACTCATCAAATGAGAAATTACCAGGATTTTTTTCTCGTAAGACACATTTCTCATCCCTGAAAACAGAAAAATATCAGAAAGCTGCAAATACCTTAACAAAAGATGAAGTGGTTCACGGGTGGAATTCCAGAGGCCATCCTAAAAGCCAAAACCAGCCTCTCGGTATTCATTGTATACGTATCAGGTAAGTCGAGTTTCGCATTTTGATAATGCTAATTAATCGGTCCTTTAAAACATAGAAATGGATAGAAATGGATAGAAATGGACTGAAATGGGCCGAAATGGACCGAAATGGACCGAAATGGACGCATGGCAAACCTCTATGAGATCGCACTTGGGTTTTACATANATATATATTATCATGTTGCACACATTATTGTAGCTTTCTTTGGTTCTGGTTACTTAAGTCAAAGGTTTGCAGTTTAAATTATCTAATTGGACTTTTAAACACGTGCATGATACAAGCAACTGTGTTTTAAAATAGAGCCTCGTTGTGGAATCCACCTTGAAAATGGCGACCTTGACCCGATTACTACCTCGAAGGGTGTATCACCAGAAAAATTCAATAAAACTTCTTTCTGGTATAAAAGTAAGTTTATTTTTACTATGCAAAACCCAAGTGCGATCTCATAGAGGTTTGCCATGCGTCCATTTCGGTCCATTTCGGCCCATTTCAGTCCATTTCTATCCATTTCTATGTTTTAAAGGACCCCTAATTAATTGCAAACTCAGCTAAAAACAAGGAAGGTAGAAGGGATTTCCGCCGTTTTTTACAATCCCATTGGCTTTATACATTGCATGCAGTTATAACCCCAAAGACTTTTTACGTCTTTGGTGGCAACAAAGCTTGCTTCTGTAAGTTTTGTCTATTTGATTGGATTACATACACTGTTAGAAGATAATCATAGGCTTTATGTTCGTGGTAGGTTATGATGAAGTCTCTAAGAAAATGGATGAAACGTGGGAGGATAGTGCAGTCAGCAGGGAGTGTGAGGAGGGTCATTGTGTTGGAATTAAACTCCAAGCTAACAGGTACAAGAGGTCACTAAATATGTCCAAGGAAGGGAAAGGAAGTAAATTCTAATTATCAACAAGTAAAAGTGATACTAGAAATAAAATTTGTAAGGTGCTGTTTCTGTATGGAAAATAATGTTCATTTTGTACATTTTGCCATGATGATAAAGAAATTAGTCTCTGTATGAGAGATGTTTTTTACCAGTGCATGTTTTTTTTAAAGCAGATACGAATGAAACAAAAATCTGACTGAGAATGAGGGGTTGCCTCTTGAGAATACAAAAAGGCATGCCTTTGCAATTATTTTGTATATTTTGTTGTTTCATAATATCAAAATGTATTAATTTACTTATTTCCTTTCCAGCGAAGAGTGCCAGCAGTTTTCCCAGCTTTGTATCCTTTTCCTTACCCAGGATTTTTCTTTTGACAAAGATAGCTTCCTTCCTTCATTTTTAAGCCAGAGTGAGAAATGATTTTATTGTGTCAGATAACAATATTCAGGAAAAAAATACACTGGCAAAATTGATACTCTTTCTATGTAAAATTATTTTCTAATCTGATTCAGATGTTTGATATACAGTGTTGCAATTTTAGTTACTTCACACATTGTATACTAACTGTCAGAAATATCATCTTTAGTGATTCCCTTAACCAACACAAAGACCCAGTGGTATGCATTCCATCTGCTTTCTTCATTGGCAACAATGGTGTACCCATTGAGATCACTGGGGGTCACATAGAACCAGCACAATTTGCAGCAAAGATAAAAAATGTTGTACAGGTGTGTATTTCTTTTGTAATTTTATATTACTTATTGCAGAAGGAAAAACTATTCAAAAACATTTGAGTTTCTCTTTCTGAATATTATATTGAGATATCCAGTTGCAATAAAGTGAATATGGTTCTGTTTACTGGCAAGGTTAAATGAAGTGTCCTGTATTACATCATCTTTTGGTCCAAAGGCATAAGTGACCAGTGTCTTACAGAATTTCTCATGATGAGAATGAATTGTTGGCTTCATTTTAACATTGCCTAGTGAAAGAATTACTGGTACTTAACATTAACATTCTTCACATTAATAGGATGTAGACAGAAAAAAATTATATATATATTAGAATGCTTTATATGAATTTTAAAGGATTGTTTCGAGTGTTAAAATGCATCCTATCTGTTAACTTAGATGCACCAGTTACTCCACCCACAGCAACAACAACAACAACAACAGCAGCAGCTTTCTCAACCCTCCACAGAAACAGCAGCAACAGTAACAGCAGCAACAGTAACAGCAGTAGCAGGGGCCTCAGCACAAGTACTGTATAGTTTTTGTTGTCGTTTATTTTCATTACTTGTCACTTATTGCTATTTATTTATTGAATGAGAGATGTCATTATTCTGATTCCCAGATTTGAAAAAAAAAATTATTGCAAACAAGTATAATTTTTGTCTTAGTGTAGTAGTGGAATTGACTTAAACAATGAAGTTGCAAATGAACTGTCACTTTTTACTATAGAAAAAACTTATGTTTAGATCAACACTACTCAGAACTTCGGGATTAGAAAGAAAGTTGAAAAAAATCAGGTGTATTAAGAGTTATACGCCAATATAATCTCATTGCAACCACATTACTTTACAGTGCATTGCACTGCATTAAATTAATTTATGGACCATGTAATCCTCTCTGATGTATCAGGTCCCAGCCAGCAGTGAAGACAAACAACTTGAGGAGGACTCCAGCCCAGTTCAGAGGCCTGGAGAATCAGCTTCAGATTTAGAAGCTAGAGTAGAAAGGTAAATCAAATTCTGTTTAAGATCTAAATTTTGGGAAAAAGCTACTGTAACCTGCCGTAGCCTTTGTGCATATGAAGCCAGTTGAACGTGACACTTCCTCAGAAGAATGTGAAGGTTGTTTAGTGACCTCTAATTTAATTTAGTGATGCCCAGCACTTAAATTTGATGTATGTCATTGTATAAAAGCTTTGCTGGTAATAAGGTTTAGCAATAATTGACAAGGAGTCTTGGTAAAACAATCATGATCATTGTAGTACGTGCTTGTTTGATATCATGGTGCAAAGGTATGGTTTGAAATAAATCTGGACAACAAAATTTAGAAAGGGCTAGCAAAATCTGGTGCATGATGAAGTTTAAAGCAGATACTTATTGTTTTTCTCTTAGATATGTCATGGCTCTTTATTTCAGTCATTTGAATTATTATAATTGTTTACTTCCAGAGCCAAGCAACTCATAGAAATGAACAGGATAAAGAAAGCCAAACAAAAGGAGGAGGTAGACAATTAAAATAATTAAATAAAATTAGAAAATATCCAAATGGATTAGGACATTATTGCACCGAGCAGGTGTAGATAAATCGTAATTAATGGTTGGGGGGGGGGGGGCATAGACAAGTAATAATTGTAGTGTCTGATGCTATTTTCCACATCTAAACTTGAAAAATGTACAGGTAAAGATGGTTTTTGTTTTGCAGGAAGAGAAGAGGAAGGAAGTGGAGAGGAGGAATCTGGGTCGTGACATGGCAAGGTTCCGTGAAATGAAAGCTGAAGCAGAAGCCAAGGAGTTACGTGATCAGATGAAGAAAGACAAAGAAGAAGAGAAGCTGGCAAGAAAAAGGGTGAAAGAGCAGATAGAAAAGGACAGGTATGGATAACTGGAAACAAGCAAGTATCCAGCACTACAAGTCTTGCTTAGGTTATACAGAAAAGAAAGTATGGTGAGAGAGTGAGAGTATCCATCAATGGTAGATAAGATTCTATGGTGTGGAAAGATTCTGCCCCATCAAGAGATATGAAATTCGTTAAAATACATGTTTTCATAATTCCAGATTAGAAAGAAAAGCCAGGTACGAAAAGGAAAAGCAGGAAAAAGAGAAGGCTAAGAATGAGGCCAGAGAAGCGAAGGAGGAAGAACAGAGGAGGTCGCTCGAGGCGGCAGAAGCAGTCAAAAGGTTTGTACCTCACGGTCTACTCTGTACAGCTGTCTTGTGACCAAAAACAGTTTGATTAGCCTTCTAAGGCATTTACAACATGTAGATCTGTAATATGCTATTAAATGTATCATCAGAACCATTTGTCTCCAAAATTACTTTTAATTAATTTACTGTTCAGCATTTTGAATCTAACATTTTATTTTGGAAGCTGAACAGATCCTTTAATTCTCATCTCATTTTCTGAATTTGTCTCCTTGTTTGTTCTAGAGAAACAGCTCGTATCCAGTTCAGGTTACCAGACGGGTCTGCGCTGACGGAGCAGTTCCCCTCCCACCAGCCTTTACAAGCAGCCAAGGATTTTGTGTGTCAGGTAAACTTATCTACCAGTGACAAAATTGCTTCATTAAATTATGTATGGGCAGTTTTGATTTTTCTTTTTGTATAATGCTTAATTCTCAGTCCTTGATAAGCAGTTTATTAGTTGTTTATTAAATGGAGGAACTGTAATTTGAGGTTTTTTAACATGTTAAGCATTATTTATTTATTTATTATTTATTTATTCCAGGATTGCATAGTAGATATACTTGATATTCTTGTTCAATTTTAGACCCAGTGTTGTATACACAAAAAATCAAAATGTTTCAGTCGCTGACATCAAGTGTCTTCCTCTTTGTTTTGCAGAAGCTGGGCAGTTCCTTTGGTCCATTCCAACTCCAAATGACCTACCCTCACAGGACGTTTGTGGACAGTGACATGCAGACATCTTTTCTAGACCTACAGCTTGCCCCCTCTGCTGTTATCTTGGTGAAACCTGTGAGTAGCTGAGGTTGTGGTAAATGATATGTAAACTGTGACATTGTTTGTGCCCAAATTATGGTTTCTGTTTGCTAAATATGAAACTAATACCTTCATCATAAACTCTTTTACTCCAACTTAACATTCAATTGTGGTATGGATACCAAAAATGCTAAAAGCACATTTTTTACTGTATTACTTGTGATATAATTTATGTACACTGAAAGTTTTCATTATATCTTAGCTTTTGTCACTATAATATATTGTAATGCACTGTTAGGTCATTGCCATGCACTACAACTCGTAAAGATTAGATCATCATAATATAAGCACATTTTTCTTTCAGGGCAAGGCTTCATCCTCAGTGAAGCCCAGTGGTGGGGACTCTGGCTTGATAGCTCTGATACTGGCACCTTTCTTATGGCTGTGGGGTATTTTATGCTCCATGCTGTTTGGGTCACCCAGTCAGCCCAAGGGGGCATACAACTCTCCCCAGGAGGCGCAGTCTCCACGGCAACAACAGTCCACACAACAGACAGATCCAAGTCCGTTGACTTCATCGTCAACACGATTAAACAGACCAAAAACGTATGTTATGATGTAGTGTAGTTGTTCTAAAAAAAGTGTCGTGTTAAATAAGTGTAGCAAATAGTTCATTGACAAATGAAATGTTCATTTTGCAAAAATGTAATTCTTATAGTTTACGTAAAGAAAAAATATTTATGTTACATGGTTATTAGTATTGTTATTATTATTTTAACAAGTTACGAGTTATGGTGTGATTTTTTTTCTATTTGAGCTGTATAAACTCTAATGAAATCATATTTTACATAGAAGGGTAAATTTGAATCAAAATGTCGATGTCTCTAAAATCAATTTTTTTCAATTTTACATAGTTTTAGCTGCATTATGATACGCTGAGAGAGGAGAGTTTTTAATTGAAAGCTTTTAGATTTTGGTGTTAAGTACAAAAATTACAGCCCAAAATGCAGCACTGTTAACTTGAATGATTCTGAAACATTCTAGTATATGTCATCTTGTTTCATATTTTAGGGCTTACAAACGGAGGACCCCAATAAGCACTACAGAGGGGAACGTGCATAAATTTAACAACCCAGGGGACGAAGATGACGACACAGCTACATGGAACGGGAACTCAACACAACAGATGTGAATAAGACTGAAATAAGCTAGAAATCACGGCCAATCCCCTTTTCAATCTAGAGTCTGACTACAAAGCCACAATGAGCCTCTCACGGTGGTAACATGTACCGAGTAGTATTCAAGACTGTTACACGTATAAACCATAGGATCTGACCCATGAACGTGATTTTTTCCTCATGAGGGGTGACAGATTTTAGCTTCAATATAATAATATACAATATATCTGTAATCAGGAACAGAGTAACTCCTTACCAAAGAAGGCATTTATGGGGCATTTTAGAGAGGAGGCCAGAGATAAAAGAGTTTGTGTATGACCTAAATTTCAAAAATTCCAGAAACACAACGTTGAACATGACATCAATGTGCTGATTTCACCTACAACATTTCATGAAAGTGAACCATTGCATTCAGAGAAAATGGGTCAGTAAATAATGATTTGAAAAAAAATAATGATGCTGTCATGAGAAAAAAGTGGCAATAATAGCACAACCTATCAGGATTTTTGTTTTGCTCTCCAGTTGACTGGCCCTCTTGGGAGTTCAATATTTATAATCATTTTGGACTGGTTTTCACTTTGTGGTTTTATGGTGACCTCTTTTTATTATGACTGTTGACTGCAGACACTTGGCTGCATAACTGCATGCTTTTGAGCAATTTCATTCAATGAATAGAAAAAAAAAACGATCATGTTGCAGCTCAAAATATTGATATGACCAAGTGGTGGTGGCTGATATTTTGATACTTGCAGAAGAAAAAAAATAAAACTTACCAAAAATGCTTTTCAATCACTTTTTAATCCATTTAATCTTTACAGAAAAATGCGATGATAAACTTAATTTAACGCATCAACGCTGGCAAACATACGGACACCAGTCGGCAAAAATCATTGAAACAGTAGTTACAACCAAGGCAGCAAAGCTGTCAAATTGACAGGCAAACAAGTTGTCAAAACTTTGAGAAATTGTGATTTTGAAAAGGAACGCTTCAAATCCAATCGTAGAAAATATCAATTTGCGAGAAACGAGGAAAAATAAAAAATCATGAGAACTTTAAGAAAATCCAATCAGGTTGGTTTTTGAATTCGAGTAGTATCCGAGTTAGCGAGTGAAAATTCCACGAAAGTTGAAAGTTACAATGGGTTTTGGGACCTAAAATAAAGTCTTAGCGTCACGAAAATGCATTCTTCTATTATATATATATATATATATATATATATATATATATATATATATATATATATATATCTGGAGACAAAATGTTGGGTGGGTTCAGAAGTTTTGGTACATTCAGTTCAATTTTTTCATTCCCATATTCAACCGAATAGGTGTTAAAATTGATATAGCACACAGAGTTATTTTACTCTACCTTATGACTTTTTGTACGAATTTGCTATTTCAGAAAACAAGAACAAGTTTCCAGTCAATTTCAGACCTAAAATAGGTTTCAGTACTATTGCAAACTGTGTTTGTGTTAACACATTTGATGAAACTACCAGGTGATGGAGGTATGTCAATAATTTTCATTAAAATAACCTGCTGGGTTTTTAAAGGGACTTTTTTTTACTCAAACAAAGCCACGTAGTAAATGTAAAGTTACTAGTGATTAAAAAATAAAATAGTGGCAGTTGTAGTCACATTCAGATATAGTTGCATTGGACAGCACAGGCAGTCTGTATATATAAGTTCATTACTAGTAAATTGCATTGGCAGGTTGCATAAATGGAGTAACTTGGTAATTATTTATCATTTTCAAACCATTTTTTCTAAAGATGGTAGTAGACAAAAAAAAAAAAACTTAATTCATTTTGACGTAATTTTTTTTTCTTTTTTGTCAGTTTGAAAATTAAAAAAAACTAGGCTAAATTGAAAAGTCCTAGTTTCACATATCAGTAAGTCATAATATGATAAAGAAAATAGAACAAGAACACAAGATCAATTTTGCACAAAATTCAATAATTTATTAAATAGTGCCCAGAAAATTTGGCCAACTCGAATATCCACTACATCCACAGACAGAACACTGTCAATTGTTAAATCCACCGACGATACTACACTATATACTCCCATTACAGGCTCACAGATTCAGAGTCAAATCAAATGCAAAAAATACAAATCCACATGTCAAATTGAATTGAAGGCATGATAAGTCACCACTATCAAAATGATACAGTGAAGATAAATAATTGGTATAATTCTAATAAATCCACTTGGCAAATAAATCTATCACTAAATCTATCAAACCGACACTTGAAGAAATAATACTACACTCCAACTATGAACTAAGTTTAAATCACCAACAAAGTGTTAAACCTTGGTAATAATAAATACAAATATAGATCTACACTCACCAGCTTGGAGAAACACCTAATAACCATAAACTAATATTCAAACCTCCTGTAGCCATATGATAACATAGCAGCATGGTTTGCATAGGGAAATTACACCAATGACTTACATAGCTCTTTCAGTGTTAGCATCCCTGCTACCAGTGGGGGTGGGTGTTCAAACTGAACCCAAATACATATTTTAAAACCATACAGTGTCAGTTTCTAGTAAACATTTTTTTTAACCTTCAGAAGTGGATATGTGAAGTAAAATTCATTGGACAAGCCCTCCCTCAACCGAGCTACTTTCCTTCCAGAGGGGCTTGTAGCTGAGTTGATGAAAGGCTTCTGCTTGGATGAGGCACAGTCCAATTATCAACAGCATGATTTGTCTTTATACAATATCTGTTTGGTTGACCCTAAGTATCCTCAGCATAAACTCCATCATGTTTTTCTATCCAAATATCACCAAAAACAATCCCCCACTGTAGCTATAAACACCTTCGACACTGACTATCCATTTATCATTACATATCGCTGGCTAAAAAATAAATGCACAACAAAATTTCTTAAATATAAGTTAATACACATAATCCAACAAACCCTAATCTGAACCAGTTTTCCTACAATGGGACCATGCTGGGAGGACCTGCACTCTCTTAGCACTGACAACTTCTCAGATCTGGCCACCAACATTTGGATTTACAGGACTACAGTCAATGTCAACTTAAAAAACAAATTTGAAAACATAAATGAAATGCAACTGTCTACTTTGGCTGAAATGTGGAAGGCTATTCCTTGGCACATCTAACTGTTGATTTTTTCCTTGTAGTGTATTGAAACAAAATCCACTGCCTCACGTTTTCATTATCACAGTCTTCTTTTTTATTCGAGGCACAGAGATATAAAATATTGTAATATATTTTCATTTTAATATGCTACAAGATCAATGGATGAAGAGGTAGAGTGGAATGACCATTATCTATAATCAATAGACTGCATAGCTCTTTTACTGTGCAGGACCAAGAAAGGTTAACAACTGGATTATTAAATGAAATAAAATTCAACAACTTAAATAACAGGCTTGGGTTTGGGATCCTATACTAAATATTCCATTTGTAGCAAAATGCTTTAAGGCATAAGGGGAGAATACTTTGAATAAAATACAGTTTCGTGATTGGTAACTATGGCATGTTTAAAACATTTTAACTTTCTTAATTGTAAGTAAAAAGTGAAATCAGACAGGCTAACAATGGCAAGGCATGATTATCAATTTTGTTAGTCCCAAAGTGACCTGTAAAATTGTACTGAGGTGTCGTTTAGAATGAAAGAATAAGATCGTGAAAATCATATTGATCAAAACCTGTTTTTACACAGTACAATCCACCCCTATGCCTTTAAGTTTTTACCACAAGGACAGAAAATTTGTTAACAATGAAAAGGACTTGCAAATGGTAGCTTATTTCTTACATAAAAACAGTCCAAAAAAGTTCTATTTCTTTCTTTTCACAAAAAAAAAAAAAAAAAAAAAAAAAATCTCAAACTTGTCATATCACAAACAATTTGAATGAGTATTGCATAAATTACTGTGAAAATCAAACAAATGTTTGCCAAAAACTACAACGCATTTCAAATTTACTGAGCTACCGATTTAAAAAATGACAAATTTTAAAGACAAAAACCAAAATTTCAGAATCCAACACAATTCCTTCCCACAAGTCCCCAGCATGGCACTATATATCAACCTAGAATCCAGTCCCACAGCTCTCTAGTAGCTGTCTACTCATCACACTTTGTACTGCATCAAATGGCTAAATATAAAAGATAAATATCAATATGACCAGGCTACTTGAACAGCAGTTATAATATTAATTATAATAATAATAGCAGCTGTGAACAACTTTAAACCTTGATTAAAAACAACTACAGAACATGAAAAATTGTCAAAAATTCTAAACCTTGAATACAATAATTAGAATCCAACTCATAGAGTGAGAACATGGTCAGAAGACAAGGTAGACCTCTGGTTTGTATGGGTCAGCACAGGACTGAATGATGAAAGACACTTCACCATACAAATAACTGCGAAACGGAAAATCGCCCACTGTAAATAAATTTACAAGATAAACTGTATTTCATTCCAATTTTCTAAAAGATTGTAGTTTTAGTTTATGTCTCTGAAAACTTTCAATTAAATTTATACTGTAATATATACCAGTATCAACAAAAAATATATTTAGTACCAAATTTCTCTCAAGTCAGATGTGTAAGGTTATTGGCCAATGTCAAAAAAGTATCCTGGCAGAATACCGTACTTCTAATCCAAGCTTGTGCTGAATACATACAAACCAGTATTTTTCCTTTCTCGCCAATTTCAACACTCCTAATAATATACTACATACACACACATAACTAATGAACTTCTTCAAAACTTGAAACATGATTTGCAAAAATACATGACATTATATGCTAATATTTATACATACTATGTGAGACTACCAAAACACTCTGCTTAAATATAATACATGTCCCAGTAACTGTAGAATCTCCACAAAACCCTGATTAAATTTACTATAAGGACTGCCGCATGTGCTTTCCTTATATTTTTATGTATACATATATCACTACAGGGATATAAGCCATAGAAAGCCAACAACCACTCACAACCCATTGTGATAATTCAAACAAACCGCAGATCCCTGTGACACTGCACAAATTTTAACTGGACAGATACTGAACCAAATTGGACCCTTCCCATCAGCCCTATTAAACTATTCCAATTCGTTTGGATTAAATCTCAGTGCAGACATATGCCATTGCTGTGTTTTACCAAAGGATTAAAATCTTTCTCACAACTATATATCCATCATCCCGACAGTCCTTAGCTATATCTCCTCATACCCTATATCTTATATGGTATTCAGTAAAACAGGAAACCTGTAGTGTGCATAAATCTGTCAGATATCCTAGTCTTTCTACAGACCAATACCAAATGTCAACACACTCCTTTTTACCAGAAAACAGGACTTTTTATGCTCCTCTTGGTGACAAAAGGCAGTTTCCCATAAAGCATTATAAATTAGCAATAGTTGTACAGGTATATTTTCCAGATTGCTCATCTGTATCACAAAGATATAATGCTCAATGTCAAAAAGACCTTTGGTGACAACCAAGTTTGACCACTAAAATGTCGTCATCTGGATTTACATGAGACTATTTTTAAGTATAATGAAAACAAGAATTCAAACAAAATGAAAAACATCTCTAAATGTAGCATATACCAGAAGCAGAAAAATGCCACCAGTAAGTAATCTGTTGCATGGTAGTTCTAATGACCAATTCTGATTATTACAAAAATGGAATATGACAAGGTAGGCATCACAAGCGTCATGTTACTTACTGCAGTAAGACTCAGTTTCTAGCTCAAGAACTTTACTATCTAAATATCCACTAACACACATCTTTAAATATAATCCAAGTCTATCTAGAAGATCCCTTAAAGCTGATATTTCTTATGTATATAATAATCATACTTATTTTACTTTTTATCTGTGTATTCAATACCTGGATAACTATCAACTGTATCCTTTAACATTACAAAAATAAATATACCAGCCTATAGGTCTGATTATAGATAATGACACATTGAACCTTTAAGCACTGGAACCGGTTTTGCATAACACTATTAAATATTTTACTAAGAATCGAAACATACTTAATGCATCTCCCAAGGTTAATGCAGTGTATGGCATTTTACCTGTAGGAATATGACACACAACAGTAGATCTCTGATAGTCTAAAGACACACGAACCACTGACATTGTATGCAGCGTCAGTCCTCGATTTCAAATGCTCTCCATCATGAATAATGTGTATTCTTGGGAGTAGGAGTTTCTTAAAAGATGCATGTGAACAGTTAGGTTTATGACTTATATTAGTGTGATGTAATGTCAACCAGTGTGTCATACCAAGTGCCCCATCATCATATAACTATCTAGGTTGCTTAGCTACAGTATCACATAATAATATGTATTTGATTTGGCAACTGGAGTCTTTTTTTTAATCTACATATGAAGTAAACTGTCACTAGTCTCTGGTAATTACAAGTATCACAAGTCTGGAAATATATCTCATATCTCTTTTGTTCAGTGAAATGGAATGTGGGTAATCTCCAATTGTAATAACAGATCCAATATTCCTATGGAAATGACGCCTTAGCTACTGGGAATTGCTCACTGCACTCTGTAACCATAATCTGATACTTTAATTAACAATCTGCTTTAATTCTTATCATTATTTAGAACTTGTAAAAATTGGATCATTCTTTAGATAATAGAAATAATAAGCATTTGAAAAATTGCAACTATCATCTCAAAATATAGCTTTACGTGAACTGTTTAAAGGGAGAGAAAAGCTATTTGGCAATGTTTTAAAATCACTGGTTTAGCATGTACTAGTGACACAGATACTGAAATAATAATAGCAGAATATTTGATTTTCCCACTGAACACTTATCTGCAGTGAAAGCATATAATAATATAATGCACATTAAAATATTATGCAGAATTTTTGATGCCTCTATTATGTTGGCATCTAAATTAACTCTACAACCATTATTAACCAAATTATTTTTACACTTTTCACAGACTTCAGACCACTTGATGTTGCTCCTGTCTACACAACGTGTACAAAACTCACAGATGAAGAATCTAGAAAAATCGAACTCTAGGTCCTAATCATCAACAGCACTAAAAGGTATACTTCGTTGTTTTGTGCACATCAGTTTCCCAGTACTCGTCAATTAATTAGATACACCATTGATTAGATGCCATATACCTGGAGTTCATATGCATGTCCTATACACTCCCTGAAAAATGTGCTGTGAGTGGGTGTACCCTTGTAACTGGGTCTTCTTGTTATTTAAAGTAATTGTTTCACATACTAATTTAGTCTTGCAAAAAAATATATATATATAACTGAACTAACTTGTTAGACAGGTAGAAGCCAGACTAACCTACTTCTGCATTTGCATGTATTAATACATGCAATATTTATATCTACACATTCATCCCTCTTTCAATGCTTCAATACACTATTCCTTTCTATATACAGAATAGGTGGATTTCAGTTTACCTGAGATAAAGCAGAATATATTGTGACAATATTTGTTCACTCAACTCCTTATTCAGAGACCATATTCTATGCCTTTTTAAACTATCTGTTAAAATATTCCAGTCTCTTCTATACAGTATCAAGTGCTCACACAGAGAGACAAGTGATCATCTGAACACCTACACACCTGTGCCGGCATCAAAACATAAGTAAACCAACAATATAACACAACAGCTGAATTAAAGAATTGCTTTTGAGAAAAAATGTCAAAAATTGCACACTAACATTTCAACCAGCATTGTCAAAACTTCATCAAACTCTAATTCTATATACATTATAGTACAGTTCACAGTGATATCTATCTCCTATACATTACTAGCTACATATACAGTTATTTGGCCTTGGGAGAGATAGTTCTAAAGTCCTTAAAAGCTGGAGAATAAATGACACTCACAGCCACTATGTGTTGTTTACTATCTGCCTGATCTACTATAAGGATTTGCAGTCTGCAAGGTAACTTCAGGCACAAAATATCTTTTCATAATTGAGCAGCAAGTCATGACACTCCATTATTTCCACTGATGCTGAAACCAAATATTTCTGCAAGTGCCAGACCAAAGTTTCCAAGCAGCTGCATCCCTGTCAGCATGAGCATCCACCAAGCATTACAGAATTACCTTTGCCTCAGAAGAGACACATACACCATGTGAATTATCAGTCTAAACAAAATAAAGAAAATGAAACTGTAGAACAGCTTTTGTGTAAGAATTGGAAAATATCTACCAAAGCTGTAGTCGTCACTCAATCGTCATTGGTTCCATCATCAGTGTGTTGAAGCATATCCAGTTTCCATGCCATGCAGGCATAATGTAGATCAATGTTTAGCAGTTATCAAGAAAATATACTGTTTAATGCAAAGGCTGGTATACCATAAATGTCTTTCAGACAATACAGGGTAATTAAATAACCATTACAATAATAGCAACATAATCTGAGTAAATGTAAATTAATAAATAGCAAAGCCACAACACATTCCATTACACACTCTTAGTCCTACATCCACTGACAAATCCCTACAACTTTTCAGTGATAGAGAAACAGAGATCATCTTCAATACCCGGATCTGAAATATTATAAAATGGAACATATTGCAGAACTGTCACTGAAGAAACCACTCCAGAGTAATAACAGTGGTTAACCTGCACAGAAAGCAAATATATAACACCGTGCAACATACCAAATACATCTTTTAGAGTTTGGTACTCTGCAATCTATCACAATCATAGTAGACTAGCATCAGACTTGTCATAATACTTTCAACAATAAACATATCAAAATGCTTATTGGTTTCTATCATAATCCCATATTATACTGAAGCATTCAAAAGCCATGTTATTCTATTCAATCCCCCCTAGATTTAGTGACTGGAACAATATGCGATGTACTACAATCACACACAGCATTTGAGCACAGAGAGGGTTCAGAAAAGTCCTTAACACTTTATAACATATAATTAACCATCTATATCAAACTTAATTGAGTATTACTCCATAAAGTTTAGCTCAATGCTAATTCTTGTCACAGATACTGCATGCAACAAGCATTAACTTTGCCATCAAACTTTGGAACTCTTTTTCAAATCCAGTGAGCGTCAAAGAATAAGGCTGATTTTGAGGTTGATAATACCATGTGAAAAAGGCAAGCATGCTTAGTTTTCCCTAATAAACTTAGATCAAGCGATAAATAACAGTACTCAATATAAGAGGTTACTTTGGTTGACCTCTGGTACTCTTTGGGTGATCGTTATTGTTGTTATCGTTACCGTCTCCACTCCCTTCTTCACTAGTGGTAGCCTGAGCCTTGGACACAGCGGAGACATTCTCCTTAGACGTACTCAGCACAGCAATCTGCTTGGCCAGCACTGCCATATCACTGGGACTGTCAGCCTGGGAGACATCAGCTGTAGACACCCCAGGGATGTTCACCAGACTGCTGCTGCTACCCACTGGGTTCTGTTGGTCTGGGGCCAGGGACCCCCCTGACGTGCTAAGCTGCCTGCTGACCTGGGTGATCTGCTGGACTATGATACCCTTGGTGGTCATCTGGAGGCCACACCAGAGGGCAGTGCGGGCTCTGCGGGTGTGGGTGGTCAACTCATGGATGGCTGCAGCCAGGGCCAACACATCTGTAAATAATGAAAGGTTTTTGTCAACTTGGTGAGGAGATCTACTTACCTTAGGAAATTATGCTGACAAAGAGGCATCAGGCCTTTTTTTTTGAAATAGAAGAAAAAAGTCTGAATGCTTGCTTCGTCATAACTAAAGAAAATTGTTTAAAAAAAGAAAACACCTTTGATTAAAATTTAAGAGAAAATGTCATAGCACAGGAACCTTGATCACAAAACCATTAAAGCATCAATCTTAATTCCCGTGAATCCATGAGAGACAACTGTCAGTCATAGCACTAAACAAATTTCCACAAAATATTTAATAGCAGATTCTGTAGGAACACATGGTTCATTACTTCCAGACAAAAAGACAACAAAATGTATGCACAAAACAATCTGAAGGTTTCAAAACTTTTTTGACTCCTCCACACTTAATCACCTTTATCCTCCTGGTATCTAGGTCCTCCATTTCTCTGGCGGTTGGTGGCATTGACAATCTCTTCTTTACGCCTGGCCTGAACCTTGCGGATGCCTTCCATCCACTTCTCCATGGCAGAATGGATATTGGGATGTAAGGGATCATTCCGCAACTTCTCCATCTTCGTGATCAAAGTCACAGCCTTAAAAAATTCATAAATTTATTACCATTAAGTTTTACATATTTGTAAAATATTCCACTACTCTTGCCCTAAATAATTACTTTTTTATTAAACGCACTATTATATCAAAATCATTTCTCAATAAACAGTCTAATAAAAGTCCAACACAAATACCAGTAACTGTCCTTTACAATCTGCAGCATTGAGGGTTTCCATGCATTTTCATTTATATCTGCCCAGCCACCACTCACCTCAAAATCAAACCATTATAATTCACAAGCACAAAAAGATAAAAATAAATGTTTTAAGTCAGATGCCAAATACTGAGACCCTGTAGAAGTGGACATTTTACCCTGGCCTGCTCTCTGAGGGAGTCCACCACCAGTCTGTCCACCCTGGAGGGGTTGGAGGGTAACCTGGGGATCACTGTGTTGTTGGCACTGGACACTTTCTTCCCAGGGAAGCACCTGGCAAGATCTGCCTCAGTCTGGAATGGAAACAGAAAATAAAACGTTTTTCTTATTATTTATTAAACAAGATTGTTCCATGTGGGCTGTCATATTTACAATTTGATAAATTGTCACAAAAAGCATCATTCTCCTTATATTGAAAATTCAAATTTGCATTGTTTTCATAATTAAATATGCACTTTATGATAAGTGATAGGACAATAAATATTGCATACCTTCTTCCTCTCCTTTTCCAAGTACTTGTACTGGTCACAGCAGTCTTCCAGACGAATATGAAGCTCATTTGACGGCCCTGTCCTCCTACAACAGAAGGAAAAACACAATAAAGGCAAAGTTATTAATTTATTTCCCAATTTCCAAAAGACAATTATTGTGAAGCCTTGAAATGTAATTAATAACAAACATGCTTTATTTCCATAGAAATACACAGAACTTTTAGACCACCAGTTCTTTGACAAACAGCAACAAAGTGTAATGGAAATGCAGAAAGACTAATCCTTACCTTTGTGGCTTGAGTCCCATAAAAGGAAATCCAAATGGAAAATGTGGTGGCAGTTCACAGAAAAGAGGTTCTCCCCCAGGTCCTACCATAGGAGGAAAGCGACCGTGCAAGTAGGGATCAAAAGGATAGAAGTCGTAGCCCTCCGGAGGAAACGGTGGCAAGGGGACTGGTGCAATGTTTGGCGGGAACTTAGGCATGACACCTTGGAGATGAGGAGGGAGACCAGAGCCTGCAGCCGCGGCAGCTTGAACTGCAGCTGCAAATTCTGGAGGAAGGTAATCTTCTCTATACTGGGGAGGCAAGTTTTGAAACCCACTCCGCTGGTAATCCCGAAAATACGGCGAGTTGCGATCTTGTTCCACTGGTGACATCCCATGTGGCAAAGGCGATCCAAGTTCTGCTGGTGATCCCTGCTTGTAATCTCTGACGTGATGCAGCATTTCACGATCAAAGGGCGTCACACTGCTGGGCCGCTGCTGCTGAAACTGCTGCTGTTGTTGTAAGTGGTGCTGCTGGTGCATGAGGTGTGCAAATGCATTCCTGTCCAGTCCTGAGCTGGGTGCCATAGGCTGTCCAGAGATTTTCTGCCCTCTGTTATGCCGGAAGGGAAAACCGTGCTTGTTGGCCATAAATGCCTGATTTTCCAAACTGGCAAAACTTCCACTGGATGTTGGAGTAGAGCGTTGGGCCCCTGGACTCTGCCACGCCGAGGCAGGGGAATATCCTTGGGAGTTGGGAGTCGAGTAGCCCTGTGAGCCAGTAGCCACACGCAAGGGTTGCATATGACTTGGCTCACTGTGCCCTGCCTTCCCCACTCCACCGTGGTGGTTGTACTGGATATCACCTTGCTGGGAGATGGATTTACCCACACTGTAAGACTGGCTAGGGTGGACATCCCCTTGGGGCATCACTTTGCCAGGATTCATTTCAGACTGATTTCTAATGGGACGAAAGAGTTTATCTTGTTGAGGGTTAAACTGGGGGGCATTTACGGAATGTTGATTATTAAGAGTCTCATGCAGATGGTTATTATACTTGTTAAAGCTGAAGGATGCATCACTGCGAAGACCTGATGAATGGGAGCGTGACTGGAGGTGGTCAAACTGCTGCTGTTGGTTGGTGCCTCCAGCAAAGAAATTCTGCCTGCCAGTGAGCTTCCTTCCCCCTTGATTCTGTTTGATCTGCTCTCTCAAGTGGCTACCTATATATTCTCCTTTCATGTCTTGTCTACCAAACCCACTGTGCTGATCACCTTTGTAAAATGTGAGAAGACATATAAATATGCATGTGTATTTCATTGTTACTTTATTATTCAACACTTAGACTTCTTTCTCTTCATTCACATATGAGAAATTAGACAATTTTATGCACTTAACAAATATACAAAATAAATAATAATGTGATTTACTTAGAGACAATTTCAAAAGAAAATAACTGAAAAATAATCACATACTGCCAATGAGTTTTTGGCAACTCGACAATGATTTCTCAAAAGAATAGAAGGCAAATTCTTAGCACAGAAGACCCCACAAAAACAATCAAGGATTGCCCTTTTATTACTTTACTTTTCTCAGAAACCTGTGTACATGAATTAACTCTGTTATGACAAAGTAAATGTCATAATATTCAATAAATAATATGTTTTTCTTACCCATCACATCACTACCACTCAGCTGTCTAGTCTTGTCTGGTGAGATTCCACTGTCTACACTTATACTGCGCTCCCACATGGGAAGGCTCTCCGTGGTTTGTTCCAAACTTCCGTAAGATAAGGAACTTCTGTCCCCTTGATTAACTGATTCAAACCCTGTAGACCAAACACTGTTCCCAGTAAAACCAGGGGACCTAGAGAATTGATAGAATACACAAAATTATGCAAAAGAATTTTCAATAGGAAATACAAATAAAATTGTTTTCTTATATAAACACTGGCTATTCAAGGGGAATTTGACTTAACATTTCTGATAAAAATAAAGTATAGCAAAAAACTGTGATCATTAATAATAATTATGAGACATACATGACAGTCACTTCAATCATGCGGAATTTAAACAAAACTTTTAACAACTCACCCATCCATGGAGAACACATCAGAACTGGACTGAGAATGTGAATCCTGGCTGTTAGATTCTTGAAGCGATGGAGGCATTCCAAACAGGTGATGTTCATCATCCAATATCTTGGAGACCAAGTCATCCAGTGGAAATCTCTCACTGGAATGACTGATGGCAAACTTATCACTGGAGCCACTCTTGTCCAGATCCAGGCTGAAGTTCATGTGATTAGGGTACCGGGGTGAATGTGTAGGGGTCCACCCTGTCCTTGAAACCTGTGAGTCGTTGCAACCATAGCTCCCTCCAGGGGCATTTTCCTCTGTCCCTCCGCCATACGTTGACCAGGGGGAATAGAGACTGGTCACAGAATCCAGGCCAACATTCTTCCTTGTATCTGATGAGAACTTGCTATCCTCCTGACCAAGTGTCATGTTACTGAAGCTCTGAATTATAAGAGGATCTGGTGATAAAACAAAAACTGTCTATTTCAGGCTTACCCTACAGTATGGGGATTTTTTTTACGAAATGCTGTAACCAGGTATTAGCCTAGGTAATTAATTTAATGACTGAGAAGCAACCCTTAGTGTTTTTCTTCCCTTAATGGAACTTACTGTGACCCTGCTTTTAGCAATATCATACAATTCTCTTTCTTTGTTTAAGGGGATCAAGTATAATTCACACCCTAAATATTCAACTGGTTCCTGTTATTTCTATTCATCGGCACAAACTAAGTACCTGTGCATGTGCTTGAATGTAATTAGTACAGTCCTATTCCTGAAGATAAAACTATCAAATTCCCATAACATTTACAACTCAAACAATCTGATAATCACAAGATACTACTAGCAGTTATTTATCATGTGGAACAAACCTCTTGTAGCATCCTGTTTCTGGGTGTTAGATTATCTTTAAAGCCTCCCGCTTTTTCATCACTACCAAACGATCTGGGTGAGAAGGGTGTCACACGAAGGTTGTACTAAAAATATAATAGCAGTTAAAGAGTAAAAGTGTAGGCACACTTGAGCTAAATTTTTTATATGTTTACCAACTTATTTGTTAATGTATGACTTGAGATGAGCTCATGCCAGCATCAATTTATCTTTATTACTTTTGAATAATTAATGTAGATATATGTCTATTTCTGTAAAAAGCTTTAAAACTTAAGTCTCATAACTTGGTTTTGAAAGATATCGACTTCAGAATTAAATGATTTTGAAACAGTAAGTCAGGTATTAAAATCTGATCTAGATTTAATAGCACAGGACCCTGATAATTAGGTGCATGCTAGAAAATTTATGAATTTTTTTTTTTTACCAAATTCATGTAGTTAATTTTCAAATGTTTGTTCCGACTAATTAGAGCTTTTAACACCCACCAAATGAATGGTAGAATGTGAGAGAGCCCAGTCTTCTTCCTGCAACACTATAATGGATGAATCAAGCTCTCAATTCTATCTTCCAACTTTTCAAATTTTCACTGTACATCAAAATTTTACGTTCACTACTGCACACTGTCAACAATAAGCAGTCAAAGTTTAATACAACAGTGCACAATGTAAATATGCAACTTGCAAGCACCTGACACTTTTCTAGTGACACAGTACTAGTAACTGCAATTTACCATTTCCTGCAATTGACTATTGACTGTTCTGTTCTACATTACAACATAAAGTGCACCTTATTAACTAATAATATCTTTTTAATCTGTTTCTGTAATTTTACAATTTTAGATAATATATTGTTGACTCTAAATCATTGTAAAAGGGTCATCCCTGTAGATCCTTGCACGGTTACTCCCCTAATCATTATTTGATTAACAATTTGAAAAATGTGTCACTTTTAGGTCCCAATATTTATGATAAATATTTAAAGTTAAGAAATATCCTTTACATGTACCATTTTAACCAGTGGGGAGCAACAACATGGGTACTAACAGTGTGGAGTGGCAATGATGCAAAGGAGTGAAGGAATGTAACAAATTTTAAAGATGTATTTGAGTTCAATTTTTCCATAAAACCCAACCAATCCTTATCATATAGTTTCAAGTAGTACAACTGAGAGAAATACCAAAGGACATATTTCCAAAAAAAAAAAAAAAAAACATTTGAGTGGATATAAATTTGCTAATTTTTTGTGCTTTATATAACACTCTAGCATTTTTTGGCAACTCATTTGAAAAGGTACTAGTATGCTATTGTGCATGCAGCTGCATCCATACACTGGAATGATGATTATGCAATGNAAATACCAAAGGACATATTGCAAAAAAAAAAAGAAAAAAAAAAAGACATTTGAGTGGATATAAATTTGCTAATTTTTTGTGCTTTATATAACACTCTAGCATTTTTTGGCAACTCATTTGAAAAGGTACTAGTATGCTATTGTGCATGCAGCTGCATCCATACACTGGAATGATGATTATGCAATGCAAATGCAACACTAAGTCAGATAGGGGAATTCTACACACTGGTAGGATTCAAAAATACTGTAGTAGCTAGGTCAATACCTGACCAAAAATTAGAAGAAGGCTTTTTTTTTTTTTTTTTTTTTTGATGAATGGGTTAATTTGGTTTATGACTGGCATGTCGATGTTATTTTAGTCACATAAAAATCTAGCAGTTGTTTAAATGTGTTGCTGGGAATCCACACTCACTGTATCTGTAACTTAAGATATGTGTATAAATGTTCAGCAAAATCACAAAGGTTGCAGGGCTTGACATTAAGGATGGCCCACTGTCCCTGGGCCACTTAAAACCAACTTAGGGTCATTGAATCTATGGGGTCACTGGCCCAAAGAGCAAGTAAAATGTCATGTGTCAAATCATCCTTGCAATATTTACCGATTATCTCGGATCAGTATTGAAAAAAGTTACTGTAGTGTAAAGCCCCGTGTTGTGATTTGATTTCCAAAATCCTTATCAAATCTATCAAACACTGTCTAAAATTTACATTTAATGTGTGTTATTTTGCAATTAAAGGTACATGTTATTGTCAAATAATACAACCTGTTGCCGCACCGATTCTACACAATATTGCCTAAATGCTCGATTATTGTTGATCATAAATCAGTTACTTGCAGAGATACAACGGGGGTCTGGGGGTACTACAACATGCTTTCTCATTGAGGGTTTTCCTGATAATTCTCTGACGTTGAAATTGCTATAAAAAGCTACTGATTAATCATTGTATACAAGATTCTTTCTGTCTGTTTACACTCTTTAAATCTCTGCCATGCGCCAGGCACCGATCACCTGGTTACTAAAAATAGCAACAAAATGTCATTCGTTTTTCTTCTATTTTTCTAAGGATCGTCATTAATTTCACAATAATTTGAGAGACAACTGACGAAAATAGTATTATATTAACCTGCAGATCATAAGTCAACCATATGATTGTTGTTATAAGCTAAAACAATACGAAAATCGGGACGCATGTCAGGTCCGAGCACATCAAACAAAAACAACATGGAAACCACAAATATAAATTCTTTCGTTCGGATACTTGATCGCCAAAACAGTTGCCAAAATTTTACTTAAGCATAGATAATGAGCTCACCTTTTGTTGTATCTGGTCTCCCTCAGTCGTCGTCATGTAAATTGAGCGAAACCAGCTGGTTTTTCTCAGTCATGTTGTATTGAGAGCGCCATAAGAAAACATCTTGATAGAATATGCAAATCGTGTGCGCGATCGCTGTTCCATTTCGCGCCCCCTGTTGAAGTTATGCAAAAAAAATGATAGCAAATTGTGAATACCGTGCACGCAGCGGGAAAAGTTTCAATGAAAAATATAGCTAATATTCTACTTATTCACTGTGCCTTATGTTACATAGTTTTGATCAAAACATAGGCACCCAGCAATTATTATCCTGATCTCGATCCAAGTTTCGTGATCACATCACCTTGGCATTCACAATTTTATATGTCACCAAAATAATACCCCATGATGCATCAGTTAGCGCGCCATCATCAAGAAAGCATCGTCAGCTGAGATAATTTTGTTTTTTATGCTAATGGGCTTGCTGGACGAGTGTCAGGAGCTTTTTGGCTCCTCCGATCTGTATGAGGTTCTTGGGTTGACAAAGGCATCGTCTGCAAGTGAAGGTATTCATATTATCAACGGAATCGTGGTTTATGTGAAGGGGAAAAATTCCCAGGATTTACACATTTTTATCTTGAGACTTTAAGACCATTCCCAGATATTATCGTACTAACTTTTGGTCGAACTATCTCCAAGGGGATTCTCGCTTAATTGCAATTACTTTAAGCGGCTTAGATGTCTGTCACGCCTACTGAAGCTGATAGGGGTAATTAACTATCGTTTAGCAGCTTTAGTAGGCGTCCCAGACATCTGAGCCACTTAAGCTGAAAGCAATTTAGCGAGATGGACCGATCCTGTTAGATCGATCCTGTTAGATCGATCTAGGGATAGAAACCCAGTCTTTGACTGGTTTCCATGCCTAGATAGATCCATCTGGATCGGTCTAATTCCCTGGGGTGTTTCACTAAATTGCTATCAACTAACCTGCTTAAAGGTACATACGAACCGAGCATCGGTGGAGCACGGATTCCCAGTAACACATGTAAACAACTTCTACTAGTTTCTTCTACGACTCTAATAAATTCGACATGCCAAGGGATCAACTGAATAAATCATCTGATCTGCCATAAAAGAGCTTTAGAGTGCTCCTTTCTTTAAATTTTTGGTTGTCAATTTAACCTACTTTCCTGACCTACTTTTCTGCCCCATTGACAATCAGCATAAAATGCTAGCAGAAAAATCTGTTCAAACATCACTTTCGGGTAAAATTAAACAATGCCTTTTGGTAATTCTCTTAGTTATACTACTTGAAACTATATGCTGGCATTTGGTTGGTTTTTATGACAAAAAATTGACTTTGTATGTATCTTTAAATGTCTATCACACCTACCAAATCAGCTAGGAGGTAAAGATAATTACTAGTACCCCTTACAATTTTACAAGACGTAACAGACATTTAAGCTGTTTAAAATGATAGCAATTTAGTGAGACTCCCCAGGGAGATAGATCGATCCAAATATCTGTTGGAATGGTCCCTTTGAGTAATCATTCAAATACAACTACGTACATTGTCTGCAGAGAGTCTATTTAACGCTGCTATCTTAAAACATGACTAAATAACACTCAATAATGGTGTAACCTGAAATGGTTAGCTGCAACTTGCAATGCCTTATAACTTACCATGGTTTCCAATGCACCTTCCACCCTTAACCTTGCCTTGTTATGCCGTACCCCCTCCCCTGCCTACCTAACACCATGGGTGAAAGTCTTCAGGATTATGCCAGATTTCAGGATATACATTCAGTCTTCATGTTCATCATTTTTTTCATATGGATAATGGTGGAAGTGTTATGAGCAACTTTCACTTAATGTGGGTTACATGTCTTTGGTTTTGTCTTTTCTCTTACGTGGTGGTTTTGATAAATGTCTCTGCTATTCAGAGTAACTTTGGCAATGTTATTTACTCCCTCATTTCCACTAATCCCATTAAAAAATTATGGGAGTTAATTTCAGGAATGAACACCAAAAAAATCAGTAACAAAACTCATTTGAATAACAGAGACACTGTTTACTTTCAAGTCACTTCATAAGATGGGAATGGGAACATACTGCCCAAGTACTCCAAATTCTAGTTTAATGCATGTAATAACATTAGACCTTTTATAATGTTTATGGTATATATTTTCTGTATGCTTGCTACAGAATGCACATAGCGAAAAGAAAATGTCCACACAGTCTTGTGGGCAGTCGAAGGTCTTTTTCTGTCGGATGTGCCAAATTTTATTAAAATTTTTGATATTTGTTTTGTTTTAGTGAAAAGAGGTTACCATAAATTGTCCCTTCAAGTTCATCCAGACAGAGTAAAACCCAGAGAAAAAACTCTAGCCACAAAGAAGTTCCAAGCTCTTGGGAAGGTCTACTCCATTCTGTCTGACAAGGAAAAGAGAGCTGTTTATGATGAAACAGGTGAAATAAAGCTAAAACTTGAGTCCTTTATTAAGACAAAAGTGCTGCTGCAGTTGAATGTAATTGGTGGATAAGACCTCAAAGAAGAAAAAAGAAAAAAACTAACAGAGTCATGGCTTAATTCATTTTCTTAGTCCTAGGGACTTGGGGAAATTAGTTTTAAAAGCAGTCATAGGGAACAGGGCATTGTTTAGGCTTTGTGAAGAAGTACTAGTCATCCAAAATGGAGTAGTCTACAGGGGCGCCCATTTTTTTCTGGATTTTAACAGTTTGTCAAGATGTAATTATTATTATTATTATTATATAAATTATAAATTGTGGTCCCTAGGAGAAGTTGATGACGAGAATGACATTTCTCAGGACAGAGACTGGTACGACTACTGGAGGCTCCTCTTTGCAAAGATTTCCGTCAGTGACATCAAACAATTTGAAGAGAACTATAAAGGTAAATGTGTCTTTTTCATGATCTTTTTCCAGTTGAAGTAGGTCTAAGCAGTGTTAAAAAAATATACAGTAGTTGACCCTGGTGATGAGCCATTCCTTCTTATTTTTTGCTTACAATCCAAAATCACATCCGTGTAAAGTTCTCTCACTGTTTTAAATCAAATATAAACAAAGCAACCATGTTACAAACAGGTTTCAGAAGTTTGGTTGAATTTTGATTTGTTCTTAAAGTACAGCACTAGTGCATTGTAGTATATACAGTATGTTAGATAGTATATTGTAGTTGGATTATTTTATGTTTTTAAAAGTTCCCATGTGACATGTGGTGATTTATATAAAAAAAAGTTTGGGAAAATTTTATAATTAAGTTAATAACCCTACACCTGTCATACAAACTTCAGCTTAACTCACATCTTTTCCACTTCCACACAATGTTGTTTGTATCTCTGAAAGTTTGTGACTCAAATTTTTACACAAGTTGCTCTCCATATACAGCTTTTAATTTTAATATTATCACAGAATCTGAAGAGGAATTAAATGACCTGAAAGCAGCCTATGTGGATTATGAAGGAGACATGGATGAAATAATAGACAGTGTTTTGTGTGCATCTGTTGAGGATGAACCACGCTTTAGAAACATTCTCACAGAGCTAATAAAAAGGAAAGAACTGCCAAGTTTTAAAAAGTTTGCAAAAGAGAGCCGTGCCAAAAAGGATGCCAGAAAAAGAAAGGTTTGGATGTTTAATGTGATGAAAACTTAGTCTAGTTGTTGAATAGTTTGTATTCAAAAAGATTATGGGAATGGCATGCCAAAGAAAAGGAAAGATAAAATAGCTTTTAAAGGGATAATAACTCTTCGTTTCGGCCCAAAAATGAATTTTCCTGGAGTAAACAACAATTTTCCCATACTTACCAATGGTTAATGAATCCATTTTTACATTCAAAGTTAGTCCCTGGTTTTTTTCTAAAAAGTTTGGTTTTTTGTTAAAATCTCTTAAGAGATTTTAACAGAGTATAGCCATCAATGGAGGTCACATGGTCTAAAGAGAAGCTCAGATATCAGAATAATAGCTATAATTGCCATTTTTGTGGTAAAACAGAATATATTATATTTCTATGAGTTATTCACAATGTTTTTATTGTGAAATTTAGATCTCTTACAAAGAGTTATTATCCCTTTAAACTTCATTGTAACTAGTTGTCTTCATAAAGTGACCAGAAGATTGCATGCTGTCAGGTAAGATTATCAGTGTTAAAACTCGTGGAAGATGTGCACTGTATAAGCTTTAAAATCAAACTTAACCTGCTCAGTGTTTAAAGTAGGCGCAGTCTTCTGGTCTTCCAAATTCATTTTATAAATCAATTAAAGCAATTAACATTTTAAAAAAGTGTTGTCTGTTTGGGATAAAGGTGGGATTGAAATCAGGTGGGGTACTGGATGTTACATTTTGGAATAGAGGTAACAATATTTGGACTTGATCACAAGGCCAAGTTTGCCCGGGGTTGGTACAAGAGTCAGTTTAAATCAACCTTTATCTTAGTTTAAACCAGTTGGGTGAATCAAAACTTTCCCTTTGTTGTCATTTTGCGTGTGGGTGTGTTAACACAGTCTTGAATTTGGTGTGTATGTACCTGCATATGTGTAGGTGTGTGTGGCTAAATACTGTCTTGTGTTTGATGTGTGTAGTTCCGTGTGTGTGTGTGTAGTTCCGTGTGTGTGTGTGTGTGTGTACATGCATGTGTGTTCCCATATAAACACTGCCTCATTGTTTCATTTTCCCTCCCAGGCGCAGGCAGAGGCCCAGGAGGCAGAGGAACTTGCCAGTGAACTGGGACTGGATAAGAACAACTCTCTGCAAGCATTGATTAAGAAGAACCAGCAGTCCAGGGAGGAGCAGATGGGCGGTTTTCTGGCCAGTTTGGAGGCCAAATATGCACAGCCCAAGTCAAAAACATCGAAAGGGAAGAAAGGGAAATGACTCCAGTCTGCAATTTCTTATGTTTTTTTTTTTTTTTTTTTTTTTTTTTTTTCCTCAAAAGTCATGACCCAGAAAACAGGAAGCAATATGCAGTTTTACACTTTCTTACTATTTCATTGTATTTTATAGGTTCTTGGAAGACATTCTTCCAAGCTGTTGCAACATTTCTCCAAGTATGAATCACTTTGTCATTCAGTATGGAACAGGTTACCAGAAGTACTGTAGTAATGATTCGATCTTTTTAGTGAGGAAAATGACGAATTTTACAGATACTGTCTTTTTTGAAGTCATAAATTCTTACAATTAGAGCCTTCCTATTGAGTGGTAACCACTAAAGTGAAAAGCAGGCTACCTTATAGTTTCTATACAGTAAAAGTTGATGCTTTATAGAGATTACTTTTATGATTCAGAAATTATATTTCTGAAGTATTGATACATTTTCTACATTGAAAAGATCAAGTCATTACCGTAACAAACTCATCAAAATGAGATGCGATGGAAGAAAAGTGTGTATTTGGTATTAATGACACATACTTAGATCAAGTTGTAAAAGATAACAAGTTTCAAGTGCTTAATGAAGTCAGACAACAAGACACAAAAACATTGTTACTTCTAGTTGGATAAACTATTTTTATTTATCCTTTTTTTTTTGCATGTTTTATATACTATTTTAATTCGAGTTAAATAAACAATGTTATTTTTTCACATACGTATTTGCATTGCCTTCTGTGCACTGAAAGTGAATAAAACTTGCGTGACGTGAAAACCTGAAAATATTTTTTTTACAAATGTAAAGCAATCAAAGCACACAGAAAACCCATTACTCTGCTAAGATGTCTCATTTCCCATAAATTACACTGTACTTCATTTATAAGTGCATTATTACCAATCAATTTAAAAGTGGCCCATTTTTGGCCTATGATAAAATTTTGAGAATAATCTGCTTTCAACATTCTGAGTTTAAGGCTTTTAACTAACAAACCAACAAAAGTGTCCACGACCTTGGCAGTGCTTATTTATTGTAAAAAGAGCCCTCAAATAGCTGGGGATTTTTTTTTTTTCACTTAATCAGGTATCACTGATTAGTAGTGTAAGTTTAACTTTTAAAATGTAGGCCATCTGGGTCATGATGTGTTAATTTTATTCATAACATAAATATTTATTTTGAAAAATGTCTTGCATAGCAATGTACACAGAGTTAGGCAGAGAAATATCTAGTCACACAAAATCTCTGTGGCCCTGGTGTGTGTAAGGCTAGACCCAACCTTCGGACCGTAAAAGAACTTCAACGGTGGCCTTCATTAGCACCTGATACATTTAACCCATTTACAACAACTGGTACATCTAACGCATTCACAATGCCTGATACATGTAATACATTTACAACACCTGGTACATGTAATACATTCACAACACCTGGTACATCTAACGCATTCACAACACCTGGTACATCTAACGCATTCACAATACCTGGTACATCTAAGTCTAACACATTCACAACACCTGCTACATGAAAGGAAGACCGCTTAATCCTGTAATGGTCTCTCTGCCTATCACACGGCTCCCCACGCGTCGTCCCTTGACCTGTTGAATTGAGCCGAGATTTAATTACTGTGCCCCTGCAGGAACGGCGCGTGGGGAAGCGTGTGAGAGGCGGAGAGACCATTACATAAGCTTAAGCGGTCTTCCTTTCATGTAGGTCCGCCATATTTAGGTTGTGGCCTAGCTAGCACTCAGCTCTTCTCATTCTGAATGGCCTCTTATTAGAGAGGCCCCAAATCTGATACAGTGTACACTGTTATATATGTATGTCACCGTAAGTTGGGCACAGGTCACAGTGACCTAGGTACAAAGGAACACGTACCAACCGACGTATACATGTGCACCTTTTGCGTTCCTATAAAATGGAGTTTGCATAGGGCCTGACTGGCACTTTCACCTTCACCCCCCTCCCCCCCCGCCCCACCCTCTCCAAATAAAACAGCATATGTGTGGTTCCGCTATGATACTGGTGATGATGCCGTGCATGTAATGCATAACACAGGTGGCATGTTGTCAAAAGAAAATGCATCATATGGAATCTAATATATAATATTAAACTAGAATCCAATGTATTGGATAGTAAGGTATACATGTAATTCACGTGCCAGGTGCCCCGTGTTTTTGCAAATTTCCATATCAGCTATATGAATAGATGTACATGTATTCTTCATTTTTTCAGACTACAGAAGGTTTATTTTTTCGTATATATATATATATTAGAAATTACAAAGTATGCACCATTAAACTGTCGGTCCGGTAACGTGCTTTTTTAATAGGGTATGAGTTAAGGCAATATTTCGAGAATAGAGTGAACGCAAAATTCATCGATTATACAGTAGCTGTAAACATGCAGCCACAGGGTTAAGCCAAGGCAGGGTCGACAGATGTACTGGACATCGATTTGCTCTGGAGATATTTATCAAATTAAAAGAGACTATATTGAAATGTTCTGTTCTGTATCCAGATATAAAGTATCAGTATTACAAAGGCAGACAGACGGAGCGGGGGGAGAGGGGGAGATTGGTATTCTGGAACCGCCAGTACATTCAGACCATTTTGAATTTTCCTTTGATCCACTGACCTAGATAGAGCTATCTGGGTCAAAAATCAGTAAGGGTTAGTTAATGATCTGTATTTTCTGGCAATGATCTATTATTTCAAACCTAAAGAAGGAGTAGTTTGCCAATACGTTGCCGGACGGTGGTATGTTGCCTTGTGCAACAAAGTATACATGTACATGCAAGGGGCAAATTGATTTTCCAGTCAAAACAATCTACCTCTCTGTCTGCATTTAAGTAAAAACTGTGCACTGTTTGCATCAGCGTACCAAGACCAAAATTCCTAAGCTTCATTACTTGTAGCAAGCTTGTAAGGAACAGGAAGACCTCCAGGCTGTAATGCATTCAGTTCATTCAGATAGCATTATTTTATCAACATGCACTTGATACAATCCGCAACTTGATTTACAACATGTTTTTAATTTTTACAAGGTCATCCTGACCCAGTACTTCCCTACAATTAATGAGCAACGTACACGATCACTCATATTGAGTTGGGAGTTATGAAATATAAAATGACCCGCTGTCAGGGAGAGGGCATGGGTATCCTATACCCTTTTTACTTGCATTCAACAAATTCTTTGCTATGACGTTCAAAAACAAGCCGGTATATTTTTAACCTTTGGCTCAGCCATTCTAAAAGCAGAATGTTTTATAGAAAAGTAGTCTTTGGAAAGGCTTTCCTGCCCCCTCCGCTCTATATGAATCCGTCTGTGGCGCTGGAATTAGCTATTGACCTAGTCGATAACAAAGTTAGAATGAGACAAAATTCCCCTGACGGGGCCCTTATCACTGCCCTCTGGTTTTCTGTGAAGATTTATAATGAGTAATCAGACTAGCTGACCACAGGCTATTTCGCCGGCACTGGTATGTGAAAGGAACGCCTGGGGCAAAAACAGGTCTTATTAAAGTAATAAATTAAAATCTTAGAGAGCGTTTCAGTTTTTAAAACGTTATTATGCAACTAGCTAAAAACAATTTTACGCTAGAGCCACGCGGTTTCTTTTATGTTTCTTTCTCCGGTTGTATGTGACTTTCGAAAATCGCTTGTTGTACAGATAAGGTTACCTTTATAATAAAAATGAGCGATTTTTGTCAGAGTATATAGGCTATATAATAAGATACACCTCTCCTCCATTTTATGTTCGGCTGTGTTTCAGACTCCTAAACAGTCGGTGAGATTGAGCAAACTAATGATTTAGACTGGGTTTCCATCCCTAGATCGATCTCTTAGAGACCATTCCCCGACCATAGCGTACGTACTAACTTTGGAGCGAACTATCTCCGAAGTGATTCTCGCTTAATTGCAATTAACTTGGGCGGCTTAGGTGTCTGTCACGCCTGCTGAGGCTGATAGGGGTATGCCCAGACGTTTTAAAAGCCGCTTGGGCTGAAAGCAAGGGTTAGTAAGGGTTAGCAAGGGATCCCGTGGAAGTGGATGGGATCCTAACGTTGTTTTAAACCTGGAAAAATATTATAACGAAAAACAGTTAAGCTTTGCCGAGTCCGAAAAGCACTAGGGTAAATCATCAATGCATTAATGACGCAAACGAAGTTTTAAAATATTGCAAATAATCTCGAACAACCTCTTTGTCACTGACTAACCCAAGACACAATTAATTAAGTCATTAAGAGCACTGGAAAGAGCAAAAGTGCTTTCGACAAAAAACATGCTGTTGCCAAAATCAAAGAGGGTGACAATGAGGTGCTGGTACATGTTTGTCAATAGTAATATTGGCCCATCTTCCTAAACACTGTCACCGAAGCCCCTTTTCCCTCACATCTCCCTCCTCTTTCTTCCCGTTATTTGCCATTTATCGCACCACAAAATTTATTTATTAAATCAGTATGGCAATTCGATGTTTTTCATTCACAGTGACATGTTTCAATTTTTTTTTTCTTGGAAATGATCTCGAAATTGCAATGCATTCTTTATTCATGTCACCTTCAATATGTATGGGGTTGCATGCACTGGACGACAAGAAAATATATATATTCATTAGTTGACGGAGACCTGTTTTGAAGCACTGACCTTGTTTTATATGCATGGCCAGTTGAGTCGATAACTGCACAAGAAAGTACAGAAGCCAAGAGTGAAGAACCGGGAAAAGATGGAGGCCAAAGTTATCCTTAGTTTTGCAGTTTTGTCGGTCTTTGCAACACAATATGGTGAGTAAAAAAATAAATGCTATTCCTTTGACAGCACCCTATTTCTTAGTGCAGGGGCACAAAAATGTTTTTTCAAGTAAAAAAAAAACGAAGTTGATCAGGATAGCCTCAGATAGGTTGATTGGAATGTTTAACTCGCAGGATCGTGAAGCACGGAGGGAAAGGATAAATAGCATATATTTTTGTCCTTAATTTCCTGTTTTCCCACCAATACCTTAACAATATACCTTAACAATATACTTGCCCATGTCCGATCTATGAATAACATAGAATAATACGCACGTACATGTAGGCTACCTGTGCCCAGATCGCTGTTACATCTGCTTATCAGCGGCATGGATTACAACGTGACAGGGAATTAAAAACGAATTAAAAGATAAAAAGAAAAAAAAAACCTAAATGATCGACATATATATATATATATATATATATATATATATATATATATATATATATATATATATATATATTAGACGTGAAATTTTCTTCTGCGTGTTACGCCAAGCAGTTGGGTCGCTGCTCTCGCATCTCATGACAAACAGCTGTGATATAAATGCCTAGCATTCATTGAATGTTGCTTTGAGAGAAGAAATGTTTATTCTGCAGTGAAGATACTGGTACTCTTTTTGCTATTGCAGGTATATTCGTAATGTACCTACAAAAGTTGTGATTTGTATGTATAGACATCGGTTGAGTACTAACAGAACTGAGAAGTATTTATAAAATATAGGCCGAGATTGAAAATCAGCTAGATCGGACTTTTTCCAAAAGCTATATGCAATTTTTTCGCCATTTTCAGCATATATCCAGTTCAGATAGCACATTAAGTGGAAAACCAATTAACTTATGGTCTTCAAATTACAGGAGTGATCAATATTACTAAATAAAGTAGAGGTAGAGTTCGAAAACCAGCCTGTTGATATTCCAGAGCTACTACGATTTTCGTTGTCGTAATATCGCTCTTTCTCCACGAACGATGATAAAACCTGCAAGTAACAAACTTACAATTCTTTTAAATATAACTATAGGACTAATGCGCAAGCCACACTTTAGACTCTTCTTGAAACTTGAAAATACACTGTATTTAACCTTTCGACGTTTTATAACTTCTTTCACAACTTTTACCGGTCCCAGGCTTCTCACTTAGAGTTAAGAGAACGCAAGGCGAATCTATTGTTTTGATGTTCCAGCAGCTACCAAAACTTGGCAAAAGACGAAAAATATCGAAATTATTAATCGATAAACAGACATGTAGCAAGGAGAAGGTCCGCTTTCTCAGTGGTGTTCTTGTAATAGTTAACTGAGGAAGTCTACTTGTAAAAGCAATTATTACTGTATGAAATTTTAATAAGCCAAACTGAGTATGCGGCCTCTGTGTCAGGGAGAGGAAATCGAGATGCCGGAATGAAATCTGACGCTCGCTAAATACTCACGAAGAACCTAGGACCCAAAATATATTTATTATTGATACAAAATACATTTATTATAGATACGAAATACATTTTCTATAGATACGCACTGATATGACAGATATGCGGACAGACTGATGGATGTATTTATAATAAACAATCAAGTTCACTCTCTTGGGCTGCGGAAGCGAGACAGTTGCCCTTTGGCCAGAGACAGTTGCCAGAAAGTTTCATAAAATAATTTGGGGAGAATCTTAATTATGTGGTAGTCTTTTCCGTTCTCTCAGTCCTTCAGAAGACTTAAGCTACTTTTCCCTCCATCTCTTTGATACCACAGGTGGTACAACTCCAACAAACCAATTTTGCCTACGGGTCTCTCAGTACAGTCATCTTACACAACGCAGTCCTGTGATACATAATGCGTACAATTCTAAGCTCACTAATTTAAAGGTGCACAGGGTTGACTACAGAGAGAGTGAATACCTTTAGCTAAGATCACAGGAGAGGGCGAGTGAATACCTGTAGCATAAGATCACTGGGTAAAGGGGCAAAGTGGAATCAACAGTCTGCATACATGTACCACCGGTGTAAAATATGGAGGAGTTGGCAAAGATGTAGGCCTACCATTTTTTTAAACTGACGAGAAAGAGGTTGAAAGTAATGGAGATGTGATGATATGACGCCGAACCATGGGGGCTATATAATGTCCGCTGTCTTACAGTGAAATGACGTTTTCTAGATGACCGATGCGTTCAGACTAAGGGGGCTGAAGGGGGGGGGGGGGGTCACATGCCACATCTGAGATAAATCTAGCGTCGTGTCGCGTGATTTGATGGAGTGTGGTCGGCAATAATAACAGATTAGCGACTTTTGTTTCTCCTACGTTCTGTAAAATTTCAGCCTACATTGGACAACAGTAAAAATTCACCATGCTGAGAGCGTCATTTTTGTGCTGTTTTCAAAGACGTGGCATTTTTTATGACAAACTATTAGCGTCACCCTCAATCGCAAAGGGTGATATCCATTAATTGTTATTCATGGACATCATGCCTGAAAATAAGAGACCTCTGTTTGAATTTTCTGTCCGTCTCATTGTCTCCTCTACTATTCTCTGGTCACAGTGTTCACTGTCAGGCGCCGGACATTATGCTCCTGAATAATGAACTGCTATCTTCAATTAGGTTAAGTCGATGGTACTGAAAGAGAGAGATATAGAGGCCCCTTAAAGTCTCATAGCCAGATAAGAGAGAGTGGTTTCTTTCTAAGTGTCATCATTTTATGATACCTTATCCATGTAACAGAGCTTGGTTTAGGAATGAAGTCAATTTCCTTACATAAATTCTCTCTGGACAGTAGAGAAAAGGGTAGGCTTACAGAAAATTTGCCCGAGCAGGCCCGTAGCCAGCAATTTCAAAAGGGGGGGGGTGTCTTTTTTCTGAAAAAGGGGACCTTTTACCATGCAACCTTCGTGTACCTAGATAAAATTTTACCCAGAGGGGACCTTTTCCCAGCAAAAAGGAGGGGGGGGTCTTTTGAACTCCCCTGGCTGCGGGCCTGCAGCGAGACTGTCTTTGAATATCTATTGAAAATCGATCTGTGGTCCTGATACATAACATGAACATGTGGGTTTAAGACACGAAGTTGTTTTCGCTGGTTGTAGTCTGTTCAGTGTTACTCTTGAAGTATCACTGAACAGACTACAACCCTCAACCAGCGAAAACATAGAGTACCCTTTTCTTGGTCTGTTTTTAGGTAAGACGCTTCTAACTACCAAGCGAATGAACATTTTGCTCAGGACGTTAACGCTTTAAAATTAGGTTTTTAAATATTGAATAGTCAGAGAGTTGAAAAAAAAACAATTGAAACCAAATAAACAATCATTCAGATGTTGCCAATTGAAGTTGTGTGACTTCTTTCGTTTTCTGAAGTCACGAGCAGAAAAATCCAGTTCAATATCAGGGGCGGATCCAGAGCTATATACTGACAGTCTTCCAAATTATCTTTGTTGATTCATCCTCCAATTTTGACCGTCTTCCAACATTAAAAATTGGATACCCGTCAATGTAAACTTGAAAATCTGACCGTCTTCTGGAAGACCCAGAAGACGGCCTAAATCCGCCCCTGAATATTATATATAATCATTTATTTATTTATAGTTTCCGTGCTCGTGACAAGCTTCGTTGTACATTGAACCCATTGTACTACTTATTAATTTTTTTTGCTCAAGTAGCCATAATATGTGCATAATTTTACACGTTATCAAAGAACAGGGTTACAATGCAGTGAGTCATGATAGATATCAGGGAATAATTTTATGGGTCCTTTGCAAATGCGTTTATATTTTAATATGTATTAAATAACACAAAGAATGCGTAAATATTGCTCCGCGTCGTGGCTCCAGCTGCTCACAGTGAAAGAATTCTTTGTGCATTAATATGTTTAAAAACAATGCCTAGCTGTAAATTGCCCAGCAGATTGAATGTAACCCACTGACCTCGTGCCGGCCGAAATGTAGCCCGCATAAGAAATGACCTGCCTGCAGTTACGTGATGGACCATGTTCCAGCTGAAAAATTTATGTGATGAAATTTAAGGCAGTTCTATATATCCACCAAATGTTCAGATGTCTATGACATCTAAAGTTCTGTCGTGCAGATATTAATTTTCTCAGTCAATCAATGCCGTAATGCGTCGCTCTCTCTCTCTCTCTCTCTCTCTCTCTCTCTCTCTCTCTCTCTCTCTCTCTCTCTCTCTGTTTATCATATTCAACCAAGGTCAGGAGTTGAGATTTAAAAAAAGGGGCGGTGATGGATTCTTTGTGCCTGCGATTGTTTAACATAACATTTTACGTCCCAAGTCATGCATTAAAAATTTCATCTGGGTCATTGCTCCCGTTTTTCTTCCTCATTAAACCTTCTTCATTCACAATTAACTTTTAAATTATGATTCTCCACAACGGCGGAATAATAATGAAATTAAAAGCAATTCATGCGAACATTGATCAAACTAACACAGAAATAGATGCCCGGATTCACCATTGGTAAAATGTAGGCCTACTGGGGAGACAACTATTCTATCTTTACAAACTTTGAAAAATAAGGTAAAATATAAGATAAGATTAATAGAATCCCGCGTTCGCAAGGACAGTTGGAACAAAAAGACTGTATCTGTAACAATTCATCTTTGAAAATGCCAGTTTCTGTATCTAAGGCATGCATTTGATTATTAATCGACTGCGATGACTTTTTTCCACGTGCAGTGAAATAAATGTGGCAAGTTCTTTGCATACCAAGGCTCTGATTCAGACATACTTTTGATTCAATTAAAAAAATGTGGACTTTCCGCCGACCTTTGTGACATTGGTCGCCTGTCCTGTTTCCATCAGTCATAGTTTCGGACCGACGGACTTCATTCCTGGTTAATTCTACCCGATGAAATATTCAGACTATCCGTACTTGCTTTGGTAAAAAATTACTCTTCCAAAATGACTGAAATTCAATTTGAATTTAGGAACAGACAACATTAGTACCGCACGAAAAACATTTTGTATTCTAACACAAGGCCTTCAAACCCCTTGCCTCAATTTGTTTTC